CTCTCTTCCGTCCTCTGTTATTACCCGAGACGTAATTAACGTTCTTTCTTTGTGCTCCTTTGTTCTCTCTTTCGTCCACTCCTATCACGCTACATGTAATTAACTTTCTTTCTTCGAGTTCTTTTGTTCTCTCTTCCGTCCTCTGTTATTACCCGAGACGTAATTAACGTTCTTTCTTTGTGTTCTTTTGTTCTCTCTTTCGTCCACTCCTATCACGCTAGATGTAATTCACTTTCTTTCTTCGTGTTCTTTTGTTCTCTCTTCCGTCCTTTCTTATCACGCTAGATGTAATTCACTTTCTTTCTTCGTGTTCTTTTGTTCTCTCTTCCGTCCTTTCTTATCACGCTAGATGTAATTAACTTTCTTTCTTCGAGTTCTTTTGTTCTCTCTTCCGTCCTCTCTTATCACGCTAGATGTAATTAACTTTCTTTCTTCGAGTTCTTTTGTTCTCTCTTCCGTCCTCTGTTATTACCCGAGACGTAATTAACGTTCTTTCTTTGTGTTCCTTTGTTCTCTCTTTCGTCCACTCCTATCACGCTAGATGTAATTAACTTTCTTTCTTCGTGTTCTTCTGTTCTCTCTTCAGTCCACTTTTACCATGCAAGACGTTTTCTTTCATTTTCTTTTTACAACGGAGTCAACAGGTCGTTTGTTATGACATTTCCTGGTCTTACTTTTCTTTTTCTTGTTCTCTTTTTCTCTCTTCAGTTCACTCTTTTTGAGCTTACACTCTTTTTTTTTTTAATTTTTACAAAATGATAAAATAAAAATGAACAAAATAGGTTTTGATTCGTGTTTATTTGCATTGAGAACTAATTTACTTGTTTCATAACTGCAATTGGAGAACAAATTTATGTGTTACATAAAATAAGAGAGATGTCAGCGAATAAAAACGGGCTCAAATAATATTGAAATGTATTGAACATTTTGAGACCTGTTACTTCTTTTTTGGTGAAATTTCCTCAAAAGTACGACAAAACTATGGGATTCTGCTGAACATGTTCTAGCCCAGCGAGGGCTCTAACTCAACTACCTCTCCACACTGAAGTAATTACTGTCTAGATATTTTTGAACTTTCACCCAATGCTGTATTATTTTGAAACTCCCAAACTGTAATATTTGTTCCCCCAACCCCCCCCCCCCCCCTACAAAAGGAGAAGTCTAAAGCTGATCCTCCCCCAGACTCTCTCACATCGGAACTACATAATACTTCCGAACACCCAAATGTCTCTCTCTCTCTCTCTCTTTCTCCCTTACACTTCTCCGTTCATGTAAATGCATTAGATACCTTTATCAAGATTCTATCGTCTCGCTTTAGATCTATGCTCAAACAACAGATCACGTGCACCGGATGCATGCCCCCGGAGGTCGTGACATTTCGTGCTAGACCGTCTGACCTGACTTTTACCACGCGTTTACCTCATGTTCGTGCTTTGTCCTTCATGCCATGGAGCGTTTAGATCTACTGAAGACAAAGGACGGCAGTTGCCACAACATGTCGAGTGCCGGCCTGAAAAAATGCACCAACGCAGTGTGCTCACAGAAACCCAGTTTCTCCAACCACTCGATTGAAGATTAATTAGCACATTTTGCAGCACACTCCCGGAGTAATTACTGTCTAGATTGCTTTTAGCTTTCACACAATGCTGTTGCATTTTGAAACTCCCAAACTGTAATATTTGTAGTCCCCCCCCCCCCCCTAAAAACAAAAAAAGTCTAAATCTGATCCTCCCCCAAGACTCTCACATCCGAACTACATGGGGACTACATGATACTTCCGAACACCCCACTGTCTCTCTCTCTCCCTCTCTATCCATCGTTCCTCGCGCGCTCTCTCTCTCTCTTTCTCCCTTACACTTCTCCCTTTCTTGTAAATGCATTAGATACCTTTATCAAGATTCTATCGTGTCGCTTTAGATCTATACTCAAACAACGGATTACATGCACCGGATGCATGCCTCCGGAGGTCGTGACATTTCGTGCTAGACCGTCTGACCTGACTTTTACCACGCGTTTACCTCATGTTCGTGCTTTGTCCTTCATGCCATGGAGCGTTTAGATCTACTGAAGACAAAGGACGGCAGTTGCCACAACATGTCGAGTGCCGGCCTGAAAAAATGCACCAACGCAGTGTGCTCACAGAAACCCAGTTTCTCCAACCACTCGATTGAAGATTAATTAGCACATTTTGCAGCACACTCCTGAAGTAATTACTGTCTAGATTGCTTTTAGCTTTCACACAATGCTGTTGCATTTTGAAACTCCCAAACTGTAATATTTTTAGTCCCCCCCCCCCCCTAAAAACAAAAAAAGTCTAAAGCTGATCCTCCCCCCAGACTCTCACATCCGAACTACATGGGGACTACATGATACTTCCGAACACCCCACTGTCTCTCTCTCTCTCTATCCATCGTTCCTCGCGCTCTCTCTCTCTCTCTCTCTCTCTTTCTCCCTTACACTTCTCCCTTTCTTGTAAATGCATTAGATACCTTTATCAAGATTCTATCGTGTCGCTTTAGATCTATGCTCAAACAACGGATCCCATGCACCGGATGCATGCCTCTGGAGGTCGTGACATTTCGTGCTAGACCGTCTGACCTGACTTTTACCACGCGTTTACCTCATGTTCGTGCTTTGTCCTTCATGCCATGGAGCGTTTAGATCTACTGAAGACAAAGGGCGGCAGTTGCCACAACATGTCGAGTGCCGGCCTGAAAAAATGCACCAACGCAGTGTGCTCACAGAAACCCAGTTTCTCCAACCACTCGATTGAAGATTAATTAGCACATTTTGCAGCACACTCCTGAAGTAATTACTGTCTAGATTGCTTTTAGCTTTCACACAATGCTGTTGCATTTTGAAACTCCCAAACTGTAATATTTTTAGTCCCCCCCCCCCCTAAAAACAAAAAAGTCTAAAGCTGATCCTCCCCCAGACTCTCACATCCGAACTACATGGGGACTACATGATACTTCCGAACACCCCACTGTCTCTCTCTCCCTCTCTATCCATCGTTCCTCGCGCTCTCTCTCTCTCTCTCTCTCTTTCTCCCTTACACTTCTCCCTTTCTTGTAAATGCATTAGATACCCTTATCAAGATTCTATCGTGTCGCTTTAGATCTATACTCAAACAACGGATCACATGCACCGGATGCATGCCTCCGGAGGTCGTGACATTTCGTGCTAGACCGTCTGACCTGACTTTTACCACGCGTTTACCTCATGTTCGTGATTTGTCCTTCATGCCATGGAGCGTTAAGATCTACCGAAGACAAAGGACGGCAGTTGCCACAACATGTCGAGTGCCGGCCTGAAGAAATGCACCAACGCAGTGTGCTCACAGAAACCCAGTTTCTCCAACCACTCGATTGAAGATTAATTAGCACATTTTGCAGCACACTCCTAAAGTAATTACTGTCTAGATTGCTTTTAGCTTTCACACAATGCTGTTGCATTTTGAAACTCCCTAACTATAATATTCTTATTCCCCCCCCCCTCCCTAAAAACAAAAAAAGTATAAAGCTGATCCTCCCCCAGACTCTTACATCCGAACTACATAATACTTCTGAACACCCCACTGTCTCTCTCTCCCTCTCTATCCATCGTTCCTCGCTCTCTCTCTCTCTCTCTCTCTTTCTCCCTTACACTTCTCCCTTTCTTGTAAATGCATTAGATACCTTTATCAAGATTCTATCGTGTCGCTTTAGATCTATGCTCAAACAACGGATCACATGCACCGGATGCATGCCTCTGGAGGTCGTGCCATTTCGTGCTAGACCGTCTAGTGTGACGTACTATCACCACGCGTTTACCTCGTGTTCATGCTTTGTCCTTTGTGCCGCAAGCATTTAGATCTACAGTGGACAAAGGTTGGATCGATGGACATAGTCGCACATAATCCGTATTATGTAAGACAGTACCGTAGTGAGTTCAGGAGAGCTCGAGAACAACAAGTAATAGTGAATTATCAAACAACATGTCGAGTGCCCTCTCTCCCTCCAACTCAGTGTGCTTCAGAAACCCAGTTTCGTGAAAAACTCGATTGAAGATATAGTTCCTTTTTGCAGCACTACATTTTTAAAGGAATTACTGTCTAGATATATTTTAACTATCACCCAATGCTGTTGCATTCTGAAACTCCCAAACTAATATTTGTAGTCCCCCCCCCCCTCCCCTCCTAAGAAAAAAGAACTCTAAAGCTGATACTCCCAGGCTCTCTCACACCCCTCTCTCTCTCTCTCTCTATCTATCTCTCTCTCTTTCTCCATCCCCCCTCCCTTGCCCTCTCTCTCTCTCTCTCTTTCTCCCAGATAGCAAAATGTTGTGGGGCCCATCTGGTTACAACTGGGCCCATTTGACCCAGATGGGCCCGGCAATCTTCACCAGGATTATATGGGCCCAGGCTCGCAGCCCATCTGGGGCCCACTTGGCCCAGATGTCCCCACATGGAACCATGCAGATGGGCCCCAGATTGGATTTTACACGGGGCCATATGGGCCAAGAGGATTCTTAATAGGCTTCATATAGTTATAATGGGTTATATATGGATCACACCGGATGCTTCCGGAGGTCATGCCATTTCGTGATAGACCGTATCGCGTGATCTTTACCACGCGTTTACCTCGTGTTCGTGCTTTGTCCTTTTTGCCGCGAGCGTTTAGATCTACAGTGGACAAAGGACGACACGAGGTCATCCCAAGATCGCTCCTATCGAAAGCCGGGTATTGTGTGATTGCGTGACGTACGTCGGTATCGATTGCCGTTTGTGGATGCAGTGGCTCTCGACCTCTATAAAAGTCGGAGCTAAACTATTATAATTATCATTACGCCAAGAGTTGTGGTTGCTGAGCTGTTGGACTTGTGTAGGCTAAATAAAACCTGTACTGGTTAACTCTAGCTCGTTTAAACTCTGACACTCAAACTCAATGGTTACTGTGAACATGGATCTAATTCTTAGTCCATGCTGTGATCAATGAGCCTGATGAAAATCTATTGACACAATGGATTCCATCGCTAAACCAGTTCTGTACGTTCACTCTTCAGTCCGATGTGATATCTGCGGGAGACAACCTGCTCGACACTATTGTCGTCATGACGCTTGCAAAGAACACATTTACATCTGCGACAATTGCATCTCTGCTCATAACACGTACAATGCACAACACGGTGACTTTCTGCAGTGTGTCGTAGTAAGTGAGGTGAAGAGTAAATGTTGCGAGCCTGGACATTCAGAGCGCCTTGCCGATCACATATGTGTCCCTTGCCAGAAGCCTCTTTGTGATGATTGTCGTGATGACCATCATGATCGAGGGCATGATTTTAATGAGATCCAGAGCGCTGTTGCCGCGACAAAGATCAAGATCAGTAAAAGCTTGGATCAACTGAAAGAGCAAGTGAAACACAAGCAGGAAATGTGCGCTAATGCTTTAGACCTTGTGGCAAGAGATACTGACAAGTTAGATGTGTTAAGTAAGGAAGTGAAAACAAACATCAATGATGTTTGGCGGCTTATTAAGGATCATGAAAGCAAAGTACTACATGAACTTGAAGATGAAAGGCATCAGCTGCTCAAGGATCTATGGTCTTCTATCACACCCATTCAGGACCAAACAGCTGCATCATCCGAAGTAATCTTTGACGCACAAGAATTGATTATTTGCAGATTATTTTCTGACTCAAGTGTATTTTTCTCTCACAGAAATCCACAAACTCTTTTGCAGACTGTAAACTCCGAGTTGACTAATGCGACTTTGTGGATTCATGCAAACAAGTTGTCTTTAAATCTAAAAAAACTAATTATATGCTCTTTAGTAATTCCCTGAGTATATTGCCTGGCAATGTAACGTTTGATGGTGTTGAGATTGAAAGGGTATCTACATTTAAATTTCTTGGCTTGCATATTGATGAACATTTAAATTGGAAGTACCATATTAGTAAGCTTTGTAAATTATTGTCACGAAATACTGGTGTAATTTATAAATTGAAATCTGTGTTCCCGCTGAATATTTTACGTATGTTGTACGCAACTTTAATTTTGCCATATTTGCACTATGGTGTGCTAGCTTGGGGCAACTCATTCAAATCTCAAATGGATAAATTACTACTGGTACAGAAAAGAGTGATACGAATTGTTTGTAATACTTACTATCTTGCGCATACAGATGTTCTTTTTTGTAATAGTGGTGTTTTGAAAGCTGAAGATATTTATCATTTACAACTAGGAGCTCTAATGTATGAATTGAATGCAGGTCTACTGCCAGTGGCCTTGGCTGGAATATTTAAGAAAAATAACCAAGTTCATAATTATTCCACACGACAGGCGCAAGCATATCACTTACCTCTTGTTAGAACGCAATTTGCCCTTACTACTTTGGGGTCCACTGGGCCTAGGTTTTGGAATTCCCTTGAACCAAGAATAGCGCAATCGGTCAGTATTTATGTATTTAAGCGCAAACTGAAGTTACTGTATTTGAGTCGATATCATCTAGATTTATAGTTGTGATCAATATTTAAGAAAATTATTTGCTATATAGGTCAGCTAATTCTACTCCCGTTTCTAACATCCATTCATCTGTCTGTCTTGTTTAGTTTTTGTCTGTATTTCATTCCTGTTGCTCGTAGTATATTCCTGTTCCAGTTGTTTATAGCCATTATTTAGTACTCAGTAGATTTAATTGTACTTATTTATGTTTAATATTTTATCAGTTGTTTAGTTAGTTTAGTTTTGTAATCATTTAAATGTATACATTATTCTTATCTGACGAGTTTGTTCTTTTAGGACATACTCATGAACTACTCATGAGGGACCTTAAATCCACAAGCCTTGCTTTCAACCAAGGTCACCTCATCTTTCTATTGTAACGCCATATTCTGTTCACTTTTTATATTCATGTCATATTTGTAGTGTGTTATGAAAGAAAGATAAATAAAACTTGAAACTTGAAACTTTGAACTTGATGCAACAGAGATCTTATCGAAACAAGATATGATACTACATAGCACCAAGGAGGTAGAGGACCGTGTAAGAATAAGTGATGCGTTGTGCCTCTATCCTGTCAAGAGTAAAATATCACGAATGAGTTTGGTTCCAGATGAGAGAGCCTATGGCCTGGGTCAGGTGATATGCTTATGGGAGCAGGTATGTAGCAATTCATTGAGTGAAGTGGGTAAGGCAGGTTCCTTTCTAGCGCCCCTTCCGAAAGGTGGCTTTGTTCTGGGAGCATCACACAGTGTCTCTCAATCCCATACATCTGCATAAGGTCTGTTTTTTGCTCAGGAGCAGGTTGAAACGAGCCACTACGATACCAGGCTTTCTAGTTATGCAGATAATGGAAAGCTCACTCACTCAAAGGACATTGAAATGCTTCTGGGAAATGGGACATTAAGGGGAATCACTGTTCTTCCTTGCGGTAAAATCGCTGTTCTTGGAAAGCACATTCAGATCTATGGCTCAGATTTAGAGTTTCTTTATGACATTAAACCAGCTGCAGGTCACGACTGGTATTCCATTGATGTTGGGCCATCTGGCACACTCTTAGCTGGTGATTGTCTGAATGGCTGCATTGATATTCTGACCGCAGAAGGCCTGATTGATCACTCCATTTCATGTTCTGGTGTGAAACCTAGGCAGCTTCATGTTCTACCTACTGGAAGTTTTGTCATCTCGCAGCCAGGCATCGAGGACTCTGGACCTATCATCAAAATTCTGAACCCTGATGGCAGTGAAGCATTGTCTCTATCAGACGATTCTTGGCAGTATGTATACTGTTCCGCAGATAACCGTGGTAGTCTTTATGTTGCCAATTTGCAAATAGTGCAGAGCAAAGAGGACACTGATGCTTCAGGGGCAATTAAGGCAAGATTGACTTTTGACAGGTATACTCAACACGGGAAAGAGAGGAAACTATCCTGAAAAATGAAATCATTGAAAATTGTTTATATATCAGCATTGCTGCTCAAAAGGATGGCAACCATGTAGCACTGAGTTCTAAAGATAAGTTCTGGATATTTAGGTAGAATGAAGGGCACAACTAATTGGATACAAGCAAATATAAGGTGTCGACCTGGGTTCAGGTTGTTTCGAGTAGTGATTCGGAAATTATGGATCTGGTGCCAACTAAAATATATTCCGTTTTTGCTTGTTGAAACGACATGTAAATAAATTTGGTCGTCTATCAGATTTGTTTTTAATTGTCGGTCTAGTTCCTTTGCTGAGTTTTTTGTTTGGTTGTAATCGCTGCTGCTGTTTTGAGATATACTTCGGGTGATGGTGGTGGAAGAAGAGTTATACTTCTGGTGGCGGTGGTAGAGGAAGAGATATACTTCGGGTGGCGGTGGTGAAAGAAAAGGTATATACTTAGGGTGACGGTGGTGGAGGAATAAGTATACTTAGGATGGCGTTGGTGGAGGAAAAGGTATACTTAGGGTGGCGGTGGTAGAGGAAGAGATATATACGCAGGGTGGCAGTGATGGAGGAAGAGGTGTATAATTCGAGTGGCGGCGGTGGAGGAAGAGGTTTACTTTTTGCGGCGGTGGTGGAGGAAGAGCTATACTAGTGGTGGCGGTAGTGGAGGAAGAGTATATTTCTCTCTCTCTCTCTCTCTCTCGCTCTCTCTCTCTCTCTCTCTCTCTCTCTCATTCCATCTCTAATGATTCGCCTCTCTCTCTCCATCTGTAATATTTATTATTCGCGTCTCCTTCTCTGTAATGTTACCCCTTTATATACCCTATTCAATACAGGCGAAAATGTCATATAGTGCATTCAATCTCTTTAAACAAAAGAGCCACCTCGGAAATGTTTATTTTCATTTATTTTTACATACTAATATCCTAAGACTAGGCCTTGACAAAATGGAAACAAAACGATTATAAGTAAACGAGGCTGCGGGGAAAGTTGCATTGAAGGAATATACTTAAGAGTTTGAATAAACCTCACAGCAAGACGGGTTTCACTGTTTGTCAACGACCAAATCCCAGCGTTCGGGTCAAAATGAAAGGTCAAATACCATCTGAATGCCCTGGAGTAACTGACGAAACTTTTAAAACGTAAATAAATAGCACACACATATTACTTTGACAGTATAATATCTCTTATTCGTGTGCTTTATATCTCTGTTATGTATGCCTCTCTCTCTCTCTCTCTCTCTATTCCTTCCTTCCTTCCTTTCACCTCCCCCCTTCTCTCTCTTTCTCTCTCTCTAACCCTTTATGTCTCCATCCCTCCCTCCCACCATTTTTTTAAAAAATAAATACATTTAATTGTTCATTCAATGCGCAAAAAATAATAACAGATTGATAATAAATATGATTAAACATAATGACAATATATTGAAGTTACATTACAAATAATATATGCGTTTAGTTACTAATTATCAGAGAAACATAACAGAATTATATACAGTTGGAAGTTATTAATATGATATGTTGTGAACTGAATGAATAAAATTCTAAACAAGAGACTCACACACACGCACACACACGCACAAACACGCAGACAGACACACATACAATCTAACCTATCCACCGCCCCCCCCCCCTCCTCCCCTTCTCCTTCTATATCCCCAAACTCCTAAATTCCACTTCCATGTCCCACTAACTAAATTATACAAACTATATTAATTATGACAGTTGTCCCATTTCCTGGAGTGAAGTGGCAAGGTGCCTCTCTTCTCCGCTAGTTCCATTTCTTCTTGTCTAATTTCTATTTTTTTTAAACTAATTCTTGAGGAATTTTGTGATCATGAAACGACAGGAATGATGTCAGTCAGAGATACAATAAAATATAAAAGATTATTTTGCTTCCCACACCGGAATCGAACCCGGGCCACGGCGGTGAGAGCGCCGGATCCTAACCACTAGACCATATGGGATCACATACATAAGTTGTTGTTCTTCTTGTTCTTGTTCTTGGGGTGGGGGAGGGGGGGATTTAGGATGATTCAAATGATTTTATTTCTCATGCTAAACATAATACAATGAATAATTATAGTACAAAGTATAGGCAATTAAACGACAAATATAATAGAAAAAGCACGAGAATAGGAACTAACTAGAAGAGAAGTGTTAGTTCATCAGATGCTGTTTTACCAAAGAGATACCAGCTTGTAATATCCTCCTTGGTTTTACAATGTAACATGAATAAAGTATGCTTAGAAATCAATAAATAGACAAATATGTAGCAAAGAAATTATAGATTTTTGTTTGGGGGGAGGGGAAATAAAAAAGTGGAAAAAGGAAGAAAGATACAAAAAAGGAAAATGAAAGATTGCAAAAGCTCTAGAAAAAGTAGGTTAGATCAGTAGAATGAGCGAGAAAGAGATTGAGTCGAGAGTCAAACAAACCGAGATTCTTGTGTGTTTAAAAGTTTAATTTTTATCTTTTTTTTTTTAATGTGTATAGACTGGTACTTTGTTTAAGAGATGGATATATGTTATATCAAAATACTGGACCGGTGTAAACAATTGATTTTTGTGCGAAGGCCGTTCTCATTCGATGGGATGTCCAATCAGAAAAGATTATATCCGCCTGGCTAGACCAGAACTGTAAATATTTCTGTAGGCAAAACGGTTCTTCGAGTTTTACATCAATGATAATTAGATGGCGCTGTTTCTTTTTCTCTGGCTCAAATATTGATTCAGTGAGGCCCAGGAGGGTTTGATTAAATTTAGTTGAATCGTCTGGTTGTGATACCCATTATATCAATCTTAACACTTTTGTTTCCATTCGATTTCGTCCCGCAACTGCCTAATCAATCTTGCTCAACTCATAAAAGTTGTTTTCGTCTTTGATCATTCATTTTCGAACTTTGTCCAATCAATTTCAATGATTTACATCCAATTTCGTCAAAATCAAATCGAGTTCGTCATCCTCGGCTACCAACATACTACACCAGGCGCGTACACAATTTCTCTAACCCCCCCCCCCCCCCTTTTGGAATTTTTTTTTTTATTTTTTTTTATTTAAAAAAAAAAAAAAAAAAAATATTCCCGTGGTTGACCTAAAAAAGCTGACCTTAAACCCCCCCCCCCCCAACGGAGCAAAATGTCAAATTTTCAAATTTCGAGACCCCCCCCCCCCCCCCCAAAAAAAAAAAAAAAAAAATGTGTCCTCTTATCCCCCCCCCCCCCCCCCCCCCCCCCCCCCCCCCCCCCCCCCGCTTATTCAGCGGCTGGCTGAGTCGTAGCGAAATTTTCGGCCCGATTTATAAATGTTAAACCCCCCCCCCCCTTGAAAAAATCCTGCGTACGCGCCTGTACTACACTGCATGATTGAATCAATTTCGCCATTTTCCAATCGATTTAGTCAAAAGCATCATTCCAGTTCGTCTGTCGTTGTTTGCTTAAACATCATACTTTGCAGTTGGGTGTCATGGTCTAAATATTAATTTGCGAGCGAGATTTGTGAGATGGCAGTGCGAAAAATTACATCTTATAAAGAGGAAAACCCAAATTCTGATAGGGGTATAAGCACATTCTCATAACAGAAGACTGAAAAGACCTTTGATAATTAACATGATTACAATCATTTATAAATGCGGGCGAGCGTAGCTTTAATTAGGGCACGTTTAGTGAGGAGAAAAAGTTACATTCATTCATGTTAGACATGAATGAATTAGATAATAACAAATCGCCCCTTACCATTTTTACATCTCGTTATCAAATTATTCTAAATGCATGACAAAACATGTAGGCCTTTACTAATTATTAGAGAAACATAATTATGTACAGTTGGAAGTTATTACTCACTTATAATACTATAATATGTTGTGAACTGAATGAATAATATTTCAATAACACACGCACACACACTCAGACAGACACATACACATACAATCTTACCTATCACCCCCCCCCCCCCCTTCCATACCCAAAACTCCCAAATTCCCCTCCCTTTCCGAATACAGCCACATCTACACGGTCGTTGGAAATCCAGTCTCTTCCATGTCCCTATAACAACTTTATATAAAATGTTTGAGTCTATGATAGAAATGTTTGCCTCGCCGTCCTGGACTACGGAAGTTGTCCCATTTTCTGAAGTGAAGTGTTAAAGTGCTTCTCGATCTCCTTCGCTAATTCCATTTCTTCTTGTCTATTTAAAAAAAATAAATATACTTGTACCTTTAAAGTGACTCATTGTGACTCATTGTTGAAGGTTGATGGAAAAAATGCCTAATTTGTGTATGAAATGTTACTTATTATATTCCTTTTATACTGTACTAACCCTCTAACATGCACAAAATCTTGAAAAACTTCTCCGAACCACAAAGATATTTATGGTTTTATTTGAAGGCGTCACTGTGCGATACCCTCTAACATTAAATTCTCCCAACCATTTTTAAATTTTCCTAAAGTTTTTTTCATGAAAATAAGGCCCAAGTCAGTCTTTTTAAAATCTTTCAACACTTAACTGTCGGGGATGGTATATAGAGCCAATTCATTGCATTGTGACAATTAACATTCACATTAAATGTAATTAAATTGTAATAATATATAGTTGGAAGATTTATGGAATCGATCAGATCAGTTTTTCCCAATTGTTATCATTAATAATTGTCAGTTTTCACTCAAACTTTCAGATTATCTTTAAGTGTACATCTAGCATTGAAGTAACTACCTTAGCACCCTTTGCTTTCATCTGAACAATGTTACCAAGTCCCTCTCCCCTCCGCTAATTTCATTTCTTCTTGTTTATTTTCTAAATTTTCTTGTTTTTAACTCCTGAGGAATTTTGTGATCGTTATAACGATATGAATGATGGCAGACAGAGATTCAATAAAATATACCTTTAAAGAGCAAAAAAGATTATTTTGCTTCCCACACCGGAATCGAACCCGAGCCACGGCGGTGAGAGCGCCGGATCCTAACCACTAGACCATATGGGATCACATATATGAGTAATCGTTCTTGTTGTTTTTTCTTTGTTGTTGATGTCGGTTTTAAGTGCGGGTTCATAGAAAATCACAAATATGGCAAATAGCGTATTACTAAACACTGGTATGCTAACAGATGGCCATCATGCAAGTTTTAGGTCAACTACATATCGGGGGATTTATTTAAAAAATACAAATAAAACAACCTCCATAGCATCTGGGATATGCGAGAGATTCGCCGGGAAATAACGATGTTTTATGCCGTCACAATATGAACCAATTCTGCCCAAGCAGACGACATCCCATAAAGAATGAACATAATTGCAATGCTTTTATTTCTCAAAATATAATGAGTTTAGTGTATAAAAATGTGATGGAATTTTACACCATTCAAAAAGGGATATGACCCCTATTCTGATAACTAAATTCTTTTGTTTGTAAAATGTAAATACACAGGATAGGGGTTAATGAACAATCAAAGAAACCACACTTTCAAATTAAAAAAACTCCAGAATGATAGCATGGACGTCATTTGTTCCCTCTTTAAACGCCGAACGTACCTCGGTGTATGCAGCTGAAAATACAATGGCGTCTTATTTTGTTTACAAGCGACGGATTCCTTTTTTTTTTTAATCCTTGCAATTTTCATCAAAATAATACCATGCACGGGGTTTAGAGTTGGGCAACAGATTAAATATTTAGCCTGAGGGCATTGAAGTAAGAGAAATAACTGGAACAAAAATGACAAAACAGGCACTGAAATTGTGTGAGATGTCATGGAACATCGTCTGCTTGTGCACATCATGTTCAACATGTGACGTCATATCTCAGCAGCGACCGGAGAGCTTTTCAGGTGCTATGTCGGGGCTATATCTAAGCGTTTTGTAATTGTTAATAATCATTACTTCGAATGTTTCCAAGCATTGGCTTTTGATAACCTTGGCCAATCAAAGTTTCACCTTTGCAATAATGACATTAAAGTTAGTTTTTTAAATCAATGAACCTTCTCTTTAAGGATGTCCAATCTGAAAAGATTATATCCGCCTGGGCGCCTGGCTATACCAAAGAAATGTAAATACATGTAGTTCTGTGGGCTATACGGTTCTTCGAGTTATTCATCAATGATAATTAGATGGCGCTGTTTCTTTTTCTCTGGCTCAAATATTGATTCAGTTAATTGTGATACCCATTTTATATCAATTTTGAACTTTTATTTCCATTCAATTTCGTCCCGCAACTGCCTAATCAATCTTGCTCATCTCATAATTATAGTCGAGTTCGTACTATGATTAAATCAATTTCGTCGTTTTCAAATTGATTTCGTCAAAGCGTCAATCGCTGTTACAAGGTCTTGCCTATGCGACGAATTGTGATGACTTACTCTTGAAATTGATTGCTCAAGGACGATTTTGGAATTTAGTACATTCTGCAGCAGACTTCCATTGTGAAACGACTCGAAAGAAACTTAACGAAAAAGAATGGACACCTACTAAAATTAACTTTGACAACTTTGCACGATCCCGGATTCCTAGGAAGAAATTAAAGTGTTTGTGATTAAAAAAGTGACGGGAAATCCAATGCTACACATTTAGCATGCCAACCTGATGAAAATTATCTATCTCTCTCTCTCTCTGTATAATCTCTCTCATTCTTATCCCTCACTATCTCTGAGTCATCCCCTCTCTCACCACCTCTCTCTCTCTCTCTCTCTCTCTCTCTCTCTCTCTTTCTCTCTCTCCTTCTTCCTCTCTCTCTCTTTCTGTCCATCTGCTCTCTCTTTAGACAGAGTAAATATTTAGAAATATCCTAACGCAAAAGTTGTGGCAGTGGAAATGACTAGATCAATAATTGCAAGTCTTCGAACTCATCACCTATATTTGTGTTATCAATAGACCTAATCTTTTTCTTCTTATTTTAATGTTCTTAGGTTGAATTTAATACACGGAATGATCATCCATTGATACAGCAAGTGCATTTACAACTTTACCATAATTCAACTCGCACTAAAATGCCGTTTCACATGAAAAGTCGCTTGTGGACATAATAGTCTGGGAAGAAGCCAGAGCTATATTTGTTCGACAAGTAAGACAATATTTGATGAGAAGGACGCTCTGATATCAAACCTTTTAAGTCTTCAATTATCGAATTGAATAATTTAAGTGCTTTTCAGTTATTGAAAGGCTTAGAACACATAGTAGTATTGACTCGATCTAGCAGTGCTCTATTCATGTTCCTGCATTCGGTGATCGGAAAAATAAGGAAGGGGTTTACAACAAAAATTATCATAAACAGCGGGGCACATATTCATAACAAGGACTTCTTTCTTGGCATTTTGAAAGATATATTTTGTTGTTTTATTATAGAAAATATAGGCTTAGATGGGTTTAACTGATATTGGAATAATTATATCGAGCTAATTAAGTGATACAGTTTAGAGCAACGTGATCAGGAAGCTTGGTTCTTTTTTTCTTCTTCTTATGTCAGAATCTTGTAGATTGATCAAATCACCATTTTCACCTCCACCTTTTTATTCTCCCCCGCTATACCTTCTGATATTCTTCCTTCTCCTTTCCTGGTATTCCCTCCTCATTCTTCTTCTTCTCCTTCTCTCCCTTGCCCTTCCTTTTCTCCTTCTCCTTCTTCTTCTTCCTCTTAACAGTCTTTCATGTTCACGAATGTTATGCCGAAGCTTTTCTGCTACATGTTCGTGTCTCATACAGTAGGCCCATTTAAATAAAATAACTATATAAATTATCTTGTGCTGCTTGATAATTTAAGTACCTAAACAAAGGAAGGAGTTCCTATCTTTATACTCCAGCATTCAAAACCGTTTAATTACATAATATCAATGAAAAGTAAACAAGAAACGTTTGGGAAATATGATTCACTTTAAGTGTAGTTACACTGAGATGTAGGCCTACAATAATCTATTATACGAAACACGGATAAGAATTGCGGAATAAACAAACACAATTAATCTTTTTCTTTTTTGCAATAGAAGGCACATCATTTATTTCCTGAAGTATAACACATGCAAAACATATCAATGAAAAGTTTAAAAAAAAAAAAAAAAATCGCTTTGGAAATATGATTCACTTTAAGTACAGTTACACTGAGATGTACAATAATCTATTGAACGAAAGACGGATAAGAATTACGGAATAATCGATTTTTTTTTTCTTCTATAAAAGGCACATCGATTAGTTCTTGAAGGATCACACATACAATAATAATTGTAACGATGGCCAATATAGTGCCATTTACACAATATATTTCTTGTATTGTTCATCGGAATATCTCGCAATATTCATATTATTGCTCGCATCAGACTCAATACAATGCAATTAAATATATATTAGACATTTTGGCGATATAGCACATTGCGAGGAAAAGAAATGATGTATTCAAAATGACAAATCAAACTACAATCCTACAAAAAAAGATTGAGATAGTGAAAGCAAATTCACGTCACTCTATTTTCCTGATCGTGCATAAATACAAATTCCTTCCCCTCCCACTTAAAAATATAATCCTCACAAAATTAGTTATGAATGAACAAATTAAATTAAATTGAAGAAAAAAAAGGTGTTTGGTGCGCTCGATATAGATCCCCCCCCCCCCCAAAAAAAAAGTCTTCTTCAATGGAAACATTTCAGTGTTTTTTTTTTTTAAATTTACAGGCAACTATATTTACACTACACCGACCAACCAGACGAAAGTAAGAAAACACACGAAGATTTTCCACTGCAGTATATTCCTATCATTATTGTTTCTATCTTTTCAAGTATAGGTAATTTGATTTTGAAATGAAAACAAAATGACAGAAAACAAACGATTGTAAATCATGAATCTTAGTATAGCAATATCTCACACAATGGTTGCTTACGATATTCAATATTTGATGTCCGCTGTCCAGTCTATCTCTGATAGTTGGACTCAATGTTTACAAATCTGTTTACATCATGTTATCCCGGATAATTTCGAGCACAGGACGAATTTTGAAAATGTCAAAACACTTGTGGACATTTTCAAAGCTATAGGTATAGAGATCACTAAGCACGTTCTACTGTGATAGAAAGAAAGAGGATTTTTAACAGAGCGATCAATAACAATTGAGGATAAAGAAGGAGAGATAGGCTAGAGTATGACTTTATCCCTTGTGCAAATACACCTGCAAGGACAGTAATAAATAAAATTGAAGAGTCGATTCAATCACTACATATACATCGTGTTTATAGTTCTGTCCCGTTTAACAGAATGTAACAACGTGAAATTTGGAGGTATAATTTGTTTCTGGAACATATTCAAACAAATATTACGCAGGACAGAAAAGTGAATGCGGAATGGAAAGATTGTTTTCTTCCGTTAATAATTGTAATTAAATAATAATGAAACGACTAATCATCACTCAAACAGTTTGCTACTACACGGCCTATTTTTATGAATTTAATTCTGATATCGCCTGCCTAATTTATACAAAATCCCGACCTGTGTATAAAAACATTATACATCTTGAATCATCACATCATAAATTTCGTAACATTTCCCACTTTGGTGCTAAAAAAGACCGTGATGCTACACACTTAAAGGACGTTTCGACACTCACAATATTATTGAAGTTTACACTAAGAACTGTCGGTTACATTTTTGTTCTCAATAACGATTAACATTCAGCTAATAAAAGAAGGAAATCATGTATTAATGCCAATTCGCGTTTCCAAAATAGTAGAGACCTAGTAGTAGTCTTTAAACAGTGGCGGAGCCAGAGCATGTTTATGGTGGACATGGGTTCCGATTTTATCAAGCAAAGAAAAAGGGCTGCTTATAATTTGTTTCGATGATAAAGCAACAAAAATCGTGGGGGGATTGCCAGCCCCCTTTGAGCGCCCCTAGTCCTAATACTGTAATCTTAAGATGAACAGAATGTGTTCCTCTCTTTTATAGACTTGGATGCCTAAAACTGACAAATACATTCCAGTTGTCACCCACCAAGTTGTGGATAAAACCATTTTAATCTGACACAAGAACAAATTGTGCTTTCTGATAAAATAGTCAATGACTCAAGGGCCACATACCCCATCCTTTAAATCTGACTTGCACCAAAACAAATCGGAAGTAACTAAAACAAGATAAGAGCATGAAAAGGAGGAGTGCGATCACTAGAAAATAATTTTGGGATAGAAAGATGGGTGTAGAAGATATTGGCCCTGGGAGTAGAAAAAGAAGAAATAATTTGACAAACCATGCAAGTACTCATTCCTTTTTTGCGAATCAAATTGAAATAGACTTATTTTCAATAATATTAGGTAGATTAGGTAATTAACATTGATCCCTAATTATTGCTGACTATGGTCACATCAAGAAATACCACTACATAATCCATTTCAGCTAAAGTAAAGGAATTAGTCAAATACAGAATCTGATGTGGTACACTTAACTTTCAATAAGCCATAGTGCAAGATAGACATGATGTGTTTACATATTGGCTATAAAAACAAAGCAAGTTATAAAAGTAAAGCAATATTGTTGAAACCAATCAAGCAATGCAGTGAATACATTATCTTTGTAGAGAACATCACGAAACTGTGATGTTCGGCAAAGGTTCTTGCTTTTGAGATGAAGTTTGACTGTCCTTTTTCTTCTTGTTCCGACCCCCCTCCGATTCGTCCTCTTGCATGGCAGACAACGCCTCCTTAGATGTATCATCCGGATGTGCAGACATCGTCGAAGTCTTCCGTCGCGAGACCTTCCTTCGATGCCCGCGGTCTCCGTCGCCCACGGGTTCGGAGATGCTATTCAACCTGTGTTTTCCTCGAGGATTTTTTCCTTTTCCTTTTCCTCCTCGCGTCGCTCGCATGATGAACGCAAGCGTCGACATCTTTGTCCGTTGGCCAGATCCATCCACGTCAGCGTTTATATCTGGCAGGGTTGGTGCTTTGGCGGGCTGCCGAAAGTTTGCCTGATTTTGGATCGAGTACGCATCCATCATCGTCGCCCATGTCCTCTGTAAATGACGATTGCTGCTCTTGCTCTCTGCATGCCCGACAGGCTTATGTTGTCTGCTGGATACAAACGATTGCGCGTATTGCTTGTCGTCTGCCGTTTGTGATGCGAGCCCCAGGAGTGTGATGGCAGAGTCGATTGACTTTGTTCTAAGATCGACGTCGTTGCCGTTTGGGAAGGGATATTGCGAGAGGTTGTTTGATTGAGATAAGCTTGGTAATCGCATGGGATGGTTGTCGATCGGAGGGGTACTGTCAGTCGGCAAGGATGATGTCGGTGACGATACTGAAGATTTGATGTTCGAATTTTTCGTGGTAAGATTTGGCATGAAAACAGTTTTCGATTTCATCTTAGAGATTTTTTCTTTTCGCCTCGTGGCATGATCTATAGGTGGACAGATCATGTATCGTTCTCGGGACATTTTCTTGGCGTGGGCTTGCTCTTCTTGTTCTCTGCGTCTTGCAGCCTCGGCCCACCCCTCGGCGTTCATGTGCATTTCGCGGTCACATATACGCGGATTGGCTTTCCCTCTGGTGATCAGTGTGTCAGCAATGTCCGTCAACCCCAGACGCCTGGCGTACAAAAGCGGCGTCAGACCATCATTGTCGGGTACATCAACGCTCTGCTGTCTCAAATTAATGTGATCAAGGACCTTATTCACAATCTCCGCATCCTCGCTAGCCACCGCATGATACAGAGCATTCCTGCCATGTTTGTCGCGTCCCATCATGTTCACGGCGCTCACCCCGGCCTTCTTCAAGATGATCTCCATCAGATCTAGAAAACCCAGACGACAGCAATGATGAAAAATTGTGACGTCATCATCATCCGATTCAAGCATCTCGGCACCGTGATGGACGAGGAACCTGAACATGTGCCTGCGCTTTTCATCGTCATGTATGCCCAGGGTGACCATGAGGGGGGTCCTTCCATTGTCCAGCTTGTTATTGATATTGACCCCCTGGTCAAGCAAGGCTTTTATCTGGCGGTAACGCAGACGGACAATCGCTTCGGTCAGCCTCTGGGCCATCGTCTCAAATGAAATCTCTTTCTGACCGATCACAAATCATATTTTTTTGTTCAGCAGCAATTTCGTTCTCATACTCTGCGGGCTATACAGATCAATATGATCTATATCTACAGCCCCTCGATGAAATAAAACGGCTCAGAATCAGTCGGGTAAATCTTTCATGAATACACTCACTGTGCTCAATCCTTAATTTTAATCAAAATGTAGCCAATGAACGACACGCACGCAATAGCTCAATTAGTATTTTCACCGCTGTTGATTAATTTCAATGCGATTCGATAGCGAGCCTCTCATGGTAGCAGTGCAACCACAGAACATCAGCGGTTGATTTGTAATAAATAAAAGTAATTCATTTCACGGAGTGAAATGTTTAACGATTTTGTCACTCTCCTTTTCTCAGCACAAAGCGATGTCAAATCAAAATTAACATGTAATACAAACAATCTTGTATTGGTATTCCGAAGAGAATAGGCCCAGGTGGTCCATGTTTGCTTTTGTCAAAACGTAAAAACTAGACTGACAAAACTAAATCTGTCCAGAAGATTGCATTTACACATTCACTGTCATAATCTACGCCTGACGTCTCACCCTCCAATGCAATCGAAATGACAAATGACAATTCATGGGGAAAAGACACTTGTTGTCTGCTCCGAGTCTTCCCACGTATTGTACATGTATTTCCTCCTTACTTTGAAGTACCTCTCTCTGTGCAATGGTGGATGGTGCACTTGTCGTGTGCAAGGTCAAGAGTCATTCATATCAAGTTCGTCTGTCTGTCTCCCTTTCTCTCTCTCCCTCTCTGTCTGTCTTTCTCCTTCAACCCTCAGCTAACTGACTCCATTTCTCTTCTCCTCCAGCAGCCGCGGTGTTTGTTGATCGGTTGCCATGGTGATGCCTCAAATCACTCTATTATTTAAAAGTGACGTGACAATCTAGTGCATGCACAAAAGGAAATAAAAAGAGAAAACGATCAAATTGTCATGAGTGCAATGTGTGCTCATAATCTGGTTGATGTATTGTTACATGGATCATCAATACTTTTCAAATTTGTAGCGCATTAAGTCACACAATGAACTTCCCACTGAAAGGCATTTCTTTGAGAGCAGGCCGATGAACACATGACATGACTGTCGCGACATATACCACATAAGTAATTTTAAAGAAACAAGAAGTGCTATGAATTTGGAATGCCCCGGCATGCATGCTCCTGCGATAACTGCCCAGGGTTTTACTTTGTCAAAGTTACAGGGTTAGGGTTCCAATCGGATTTTAGTTTAGGTTCAGGGTAAGGTATAATATTTGATCAAGGGCTGAGGTTGGGAAATCGGTAAGTGCGGGATATTTGCCGAGGAACAATTATTGTCAAATTAGTTTTGAGGGGCGAGCGTGAGAAACAAGATTGATGACCTTCAATAAGCCGTCCTATTTTGCCAAACATATTGATATCACCATGACGAACCAATATTACCATTTGTGAAGAAGTAAATATCAACACAACAAGAGGAAATTGATTTTTTAATAAATCATGGTTAGATCTCCATTATAGAAATCAAGATAAGAGGCCTAATTTCAAATGAACAGCTCAAAGAATAAACATAGATGTGAAGATTTATCTTACTATTACAATTTACATGTGTCAACATTTATGAACGAATACAACCGCTTGTGAAGGAAAAAACACAATATTTGGAAATTGATTTTGAATAAATCATGATTAGATCTCCTTTATAAAATCGAGATAAGCGACATATAGGCCCCGTTGCATGAAACTTACTATTGATGGTAACTTTGCCATCGATGGCAACTACCATGGTAACAGGGCTCAACAGCCAATCAAAGTTGTCCATGGTAGTCCACCATTTCTCCACTCCAACGTATTCAGAACATAGCAGTCTCATTACCAAAACCAGAAAATATGAACACATAACTCCTATTCTTAGATCTCTTTATTGGCTACCTATTTCAACTCGCATAGGGCAGTTTTGTTTAGAGTAAGTTTCTAATTATCTGTAATGTTATTATTACTAGTTACCATTGGTGACAAAGTTACCATCGATGGTAAGTTTTTGGGCAACGGGGCCCAGATTTCAAATCAATAGCTCTCGCTCAAAGAATAAACATAGATGTGAAGATTTATCTTACTATTACCAACATTTACAAACCAATATTACCATTTGTGAAGAAGAAAATACCAACAAAACAAGTAGATATTGATTTTAAATAAATCATGATTAGATCTCCAGTATTAACAAAATCAAGGTAAGAGGCCTAATTTCAAACGAACAGCTCTCGCTCAAAGAATGAACATAGATTTGAAGCTTTATCTCATTATGTACTCAAAGGAGACCGTAGGCGCGAAGAAATCTATCAATTAAATTAGACATTCAATAACACATTTTTTCTTGCTACATAATCATACATGTAGTAGAGACCTATCATAGTCCACATGCTAAGTTCTAGTGTGCATACCAAATTTTGTCAATTCAGAATGACAATATGATAAACGACTATGTACACACTATAATCATGAATGTCATTATAATCAAGTACAACTGTTATACAAAGGAGTAATAGTTTACGTTGACAATTTAACCTTGAAATACTTGTCAACATATATGTAGTTGCATAGAATAAGACGATCTAAGACACCAAAATATTGATCTGTTTTATTGATTATAGGTTTCACAACCGCTTCTATCAGCCATGTTCCTTTGGCCATTGACCAAACAGAACGTAATTACAGCACATGGGAATAAAGGGTATAGTATTGATTTACACCCGAGTGTAAAAGTTTGATCCAATAATATTGATTAAAATCCGCCACGATAGGAGTATAAATTCCTAGAACCATACAATGTTTCATAATCGGTTAATTCAGAGTTGGTACCTATCTTTACCAACCGTTAGAGGTTATAAGAACAAGATAGAAGTTATTATGAATTTAAGAGTCAGTAATATGAGTTGGTACAACAGTTAATGAAACCTAAAACAGAGAAAAGAAATCATCCTTTAAACATGATTTGGTATTCCCATAAAACTGAACATGATGATGAATCATTTTTAAAGTTAAAAGGTTATGAAAAAATGGGTGCATCCGAATTGTATGAACAGTAACAACAACCTAAAGAAAATATTTAGTTTGTGTATTTCCATTCGAATGTCCTCGACATGGTGTCCTTGAACATGATTTTATACCCTCTCTATAACTTGTAGGTTTATTTTAACATGTTTTACATTTAGTAATAGTACAGTTCCATTTCCTCATACATTTATGCGTGTAATGTACACTTTGATATATGGCTACATAAAATATGTCTACGTATGCGTTGGAAAGTTTGTGAGGTGCTAAAAGGACATTCCACGTTTATTAATAGGAATTTCCCTGTTAATGCCATTTGATATGGTTTCCAATTTTACCTGTTATTCAATCTTTGAATAACACTTTTCTTAATTATAAGCGATTCAAAAATAATCTGGTAAACTAGCTATAATACCTATTACTTTCGTAAAGAAGGCATTCCTTTTATACATGCAATATACTGTACGTATACAACATACTAGCTCAAATAGTGATCTAAATTTGTTCGTGAATTCGTTTCTCTATACTCAAAAGATTTCAACTATATACCTTTAGAATAATAAATCTATGTGAAGATTATAATATTTAGGTTATATTCCCTTTCTCCCTGAACATCTTATAGTGTGGCAGTAGCCTAGATCTTTAAAGTTGTATAAACATCCGTGGATTTGAAAGATACCTTTAAACACATTATACTTTGGAGTTTACACCCTTTATGTGCGTTATAGTTGGGTGTTTACGACAACTTTTATGGATTCTAGCCATTATTCCAACAAGACACGTACACTACGACAAGCAAACAAGTTCTTCAAAATCCAACTTACCTTGCCAACTGCTATTTCCATGTAGTACCGGAATTGATGTGAGCAATTTCATGTAATTTAAAGCACATGCGTGAATAGAAAGGTGCCGACGGATACAAATATATAAAACAAGACTTCTCTGTGGATATTGATCGTGTCAAGCGGTTGCTAAGTGTCTGTGCCTGCGGGCCAGGCGGGCATGGTAGCAAATTCGAACATCCTAATTGTTCCACAGATGGTTGCACGAAGTGAATACCAGATTAAACTTTAACAGAGCGGCGCCGGATCCCCTATAAGCACGATTATTCGAGGGACTGAAGCACCGATGAAATACATAAGTACGCACTCAAGTATCCTTCTTCAAAAATTAACTGGGCAGCCGACGGGCGCTCTCAGCGTCGATAGCAACTGTGTGTGTGTGTGTGTACTCATGAGGCCATTATTAACTTTTGCTCCAATTTGATAAAATCTTCCTATGTTCTTTGAGTTTGATAAAACTTTTCGTAGTAGTATACGTCACGTTTCGCCAGCTGTATCTTGTAGTTATGCTTATTTGCTTTGAAACATTTTGGTAGATCAGAAAAGAGGGGCTCGGTCGCATGTTGACATAATAGGTTAATCTCTTTGAGTTGTGAATCACACGACGTTTCATTACTTTTACAAATAGGTTTTGACTGAATTAATCAGCGTGTATACAATGAAATGTCTAGAACTGTTTGTCGTGTGACATCATTCATTGAAAATTCCGCTCCCCCTTCCATCTGAATATCCTCTTTTGATTATTTAGTCACAGCTCTTCATTTGTGATTCACTTAATTCGCTCTATTAAAAATCCAATTTCTAATTCATTTATTTATACTCATAAATGATATCAAATTGGGTAAAAGCTGTGTTTATTCTAAAATATGAACTCGACTGAATTTATAGATAAATTAATTTCCCACTTCGGTAGAAGTGCTGTTAAACACTTTGTCGAAAATAAATATGGTGAGATTTATGAACAAAATGAGAATCATAAACGATAACAATGTGAAAAGGGGGAAAACGGGTGACAGAAGTTACAAATCACATAGGCCTTCATTTATTTGTTTATTTTAGAGAGATACAGGAAAGTTGTTTTGTTTTGCTCTTTTTTATGACTGTTTGTTTTGTTTGTTCTGTTTTTTGTTGTTGATTGTTCCGTTTGTTGGTTTTTCTTTGTTGCTTTTTGTGGGGGGGGGGGTGTTTTGGGGTTTGTTTTTATTTTCAGATTTTTTTGCGTGCCCCGACATATGTATGCACGTATCAATACGAACATTTTTGTATTTGCTTTTTTTTTGTCAACTGTAATGAAAGATAGAGCAGATTCTCCACCGTTCAGTTATGTTAAATAGTTAAACAGATATATAAACTATGGTAAAACACGAAATACTGAAACAAAAGGTTCCTCATATGTTTCAAAATAGACCCACAACACATCCACATGTAACTATATCCAATAACCGGTGCCTCATCCATTTATCGACACCCTGGAAGCATAATGATTGCGTAATGAAAGAAATATAATCCACTTTGCTGTAGCCGCATTTAGCATGTAGAAAGGGAGAGGATTATATTAGGTGTATAGAGCACAGACGCCTAAAATCGCAATTAAAAAATTTCATTAAAAATTTCATTTTACATTAAATCCTACTTGCAATAGTTTGGCCAGGAGGGATTAGACCTCCCTGCACGGTCACCAACAGGTGGTCATCTACTCATCTCATCAAATCAGCTCTCAACTAACATAAGCAAAAGGGACAATGGGGGACCAACGGGTACCGCTTAGGCATTGTTGGCTGTATAGAGGGCGCAAGTAGCTATAAGTAGTGCAGTCCCGCTTTAAAGTCTCAAAGCTAGCCACAACAGAAATAATGTATAAATCGTTTACTTGACTATTTTATTGATATGAAAAAAGAAATTCAAGAATATGAAATGAAAGTGATTGCATTGACTCGAGATTTAATCATGATAATGAAACAAAATCTTCAAAGCGAATATCCTGAATTGGATTTTACTTTACCAAGATCTTACTGCAGTTTGTTTTAATTTTTATTTTACTTTAGTGGTTTGTTATTGTTTTGCCTTGTTTCATACTGGCCTTGCAATACTTTTAGCAAAACATACTTAGTACATCTGTGTCATTTCATTTCCTTTCTTCTATAATTTGTATTCTGTATCTTTATTGCTATTTCCATCTATAGTTTCGTTATTATCAGAATAATTTAATAATTAATAATTTACTAATTTAATTTTGTTCACATGCCAAATTCTACAGGACTTTGTTTAAAAAGCATCAGTGGTAAATAAAGACTAGACAACATAGGAATGGCATTGGGTGTTGTTTGAATTTTTCCGAGGTTAAAATGGAACACTTAATTTATGCGATAAGTTTTTTTTTTTCTCAATCCAATCAATTTCACTTATTTCTACACTACGCAGGGTATAGGTTCAGTGTAAAACAGTACCGTTCTCCACATAAAGTTATCCAAGGTTCCTACCTCGAAGAGGGCGCAATTCAAAATACACAAACAAGATCCATTGATGATGAGCATGGATTTTGGCTCTCACTGTCTCGATACGGTATGTAATCAGAGATATTATTTTGGAAAGTAAATTTTAACAACAACAAACATTTCAACATGAAGGGGAAATTATGAAATACAAACGGCTGTGAACAATGTAAATATCAAAGTGAATCGAGCACAAACAAACCGAATGAATAATTTGACTATATTGCTTATCTTTGTATGATCTAGCGATTGTCCGATAATCCAATTTAAGAAATGATAAATCCCAATGTTTTCCTTAGAGCAACTTTATACTGAATTAAAAGTTGAAATGTGATTATGAGGATGTTCATCCTCATAATCATCATCATCATTAAAAATCCTCATCAACTATCAGCATCATCGCCCTCCTCATCATCATCATCATCGCCATCATCATCATCATCATCACCATCGTCATCACCATCGTCATTATCATCATCATCATCACTTCATCATCGTCACACCATCATCATCATCATCACCACCATTGTCACCGTCATCACAGCCATCTTCATCATCATCCTCACACCATCAACACACCATCATCATCACCATCATCGTCACCATCATCACAATCATCATCATCCTCATCCTCACACCATCATCACACCATCATCGTCACCATCATCGTCACCACCATCATCATCATCATCCTCCTCACACCAGCATCATCATCCTCACCATCATCGTCACCATCATCGTCACCATCATCATCATCATCATCATCATCATCCTCCTTACACCATCATCATCATCCTCACCATCATCATCATCATCATCGCACCATCATCATCATCACCTCACACCACCACCACCACCACCACCACCATCATCATCATCATCATCATCATCATCATCATCATCGTCGCCATCTTCACTATTTCTTTGCTTTGTCGTCATTATCTTCGTCACAGGCAGACAATCGGTTGGAATTTAGAAAAGCACCGTACAAGAGCCTCCCTTTTTCAATATTCATCATCATTTAATATTACAAACTTGACAGTGAATAACATTTTTAAGCATAAATTTAACACATCAATGTTTGGGCGTTTGCAGTGGTTTTTCAAAGCTTTATTGATATCTAAATGTCGAATGCTTTGAAGTATATTGAAATATTTTTGGGGAAACGATGTAGAAAGCATACACAGTACAACTGAAGTATATAAAGACCAATAATTAAGTCCTAAGTGAGTATCCCTGTTATAGAACTTACAGACATTAAAAGCATAAGTATTGAGTAAGCGTACATAATATTGGTCCAAGAAAGAAAAAAAACCCTACAACCCCCAAACGTAAATATACCTTCACTACACCCCAGAACAATTAATTAAATTCACTGATCAAAATACGAGTGATGGATGTCCCAAACAAAGTCGATAATCGTGAATGGCAATAGACCATTTTTGTAATGGATTTAAAATGAATGCAATAAATCGTTGTTAAGTGCCATGTTACAAAATTATTTTATTCACCTCCTACGAATAATTGTATTTCAATAGTCGGAATGGGAATGGCATATATTATGACGTTTTGTTAGGTAGGATAAGCCATTATGTTGGTCCTATGTAGCATCAATTCGCGTTCTGACTATTTGAATACAATTATTCGTAACAGGTGAATGGAATTATTAGTAACTTGGCATTCAACAAAGAATTATAAATTGAATTTGATTGCATTACCAAAATGGTCTATTACAACCCAACCCCTAATATAGCAAGATTCTCTCTCCCTTTCTCTGTCTCTCTCTCTCTCTCTCTCTCTCCTTTTCTCTCTTTTGCTCTCTCTCTCTCTCTCTCTCTCTCTCTCTCTCTCACACACACACACACACACACGCAACTTGTTCCTCCCCTCTCTGTCCCTGTTTCACTCATGTCCCCCTTTTAACTGTGTATATGAGCAAAAAAATAATTAAAAACCAATTGCCATTTAATGTTTAGATATTGGGAGTATCATTAAGTCGTCTTCTATGGGAGTCAACGCACGGGCACAGAATATTTTTCCTAAACATCCGTGAAGGCGTGTAACATAAATCTGCAGCATTTAACGATCTGTCCCTAATCAGATAGAGCGTGTAATTACCAATGAGATGCAGTGGCGTAATGAGCAAAAACTCATTTGGGGGCAGAATGGGCAAAAGTGAGAAAAAACCCGGAAATACGTGTCATTTCAGCAACATTTGTTGGAAATAAACCGCGTTTGAATTTTAGTTGGGGAGGGGGAAACTGCCCCCAACCCCCCCCCCCTCATCAGTACGCCAGTGATGAGATGGATTTTATCTCCGACACAACTTTGATTAGGAAACATGATTGCAAAAACTTTCAGTTAATCAACTCAAGGGCAATTACAATACCTCACTGTACATCTCATAGAAATCATTTCAATATGTTATGGACAGGATAAATGAAACTTTCTTAGATCGATTTTTGAAAGTACTTGCAATCGTGTTAGTAGTAGACTTTCACCACCACACCACCCCCCCCCCCCCCCTGCATGGTTAAAGCATGTTGCACTCGCACTATGACGTGACACCCAGTTGATGATGTGGTATGATTCATACATTTTGGGTCAATCTTCTCTTTAATAAATCAATGACACAAAAAAGAGATTTATTTCAGATTTTTAGTTTTGATGACCATCATTAAGTCCGCCTCACTCTCTGCGTGGGATCACGAGCGAGCTCGGCACAGTTCGTACATAATCGTAAATGACTCGATGTGACTCGGCGCTAATCGTAGTTACTCGTAGTGACATTAGATGTCCCGAGTTCACCTCGAGTTGCCTCCATCACGGCAAAGTTTGAGGGAGGTTCAACTCAGCTTTGAGGCAGCCAATATATTTCATGAAGCTGTTGTGAGCTATAGGGCAACAGACATGCTCCGCGGCAACCCATTCAAAATGTTCTCAATGCTCGGTCCTGACTTGCCGTCGTAACTCGCCGACAGGGACCTCTCAAGTCCTTTAAACCTTCCGTCGTAAACCGAGCGGTATTTTAAATAGCGAGGGATGCGTTCTGCTGATGACGTCATTGTACCGTTGTGTCCTGGAGCGGTTGCTACACCCGGTCTCATCCCGGCTGTGTCCGGTAAGCGGTTGGTGCTGCTCCCGCGGCTCATACCACGTCGCATGTGGTTCGGCGGTACGCTCTGCTGTCGGGTCTTTTCAGGCGGTTGAATCGCGGGAAACATCGTCGGATTCTGTGGTCCTCGTCGCCTACCCGATTCGAACGCGCTTCGCTTCTTGTTCCGCGCGCTGAATGTCGGTTCGGTTTTGTACAACGGATCGTCGTACGTTCCCGGTATGATCGGCCTGATTTCTTCCGGATCCGTTTGGCACGTCTGCAGTTCCTTCTTGCGTTGCTCACTGTATGTCTTACGCACCAGATCGCGGTAAGTTTCGAGTTTCTCGTTCAACCGACTCCGCTGATTCTTTCCCTTTTGAACTGCCGGTGCACTCGTATCCACGGTCTCGACATTTCGTAGCAGGTCCTTCATCACACTCGTCTTACATTTCTGCTTGTCCATAAACGCTTTCCTCTGCCATGCGACATGAACAATAAACTTATACCTCTCTTTCGATAAATCAAGGAGTCTGTTTTCGAGGAGCCGTTGCTCTGTGATATTGTCTTTGACCTGGGAACCAATGATGCGGCCCTGTTCACCGCCTTCTTCATCGTCGTCGTCGTCAGTTCGTCGACTGGGTTTAGCCCAGCTGCGGATGTCCCTCCAGACATCGTCCCGACTTGTTACCCGCGAAGGGGCGCTGACTGGTTTAGCCTTCTCTTCGTTCATTCTGTCCCCCTTTTCGGTGTCAGACACGTGCAAAGAGAATCCCCGATATTAGTCTCTCATCGTCTTTCCAGTTCCTTTGTGACGTCACCTTGGACCTGTAAAGACATAAAGATATGATACATACAATAACGAGGTTTACAAATTACAATACATTTTTTCGTTTGCTTCCTTTTCCTGATAAAAGTATCGGATTCCTGTTACTGTAGATGATAACATAATATACATGTACATTTAAACCGAAATATTGTTTTGCTTTAAAACGTTTACCAAAAAAGGGTAAAATGGTTTGTATTCCCCCATCCTTAAAAAAAGGATCTTTATCATCAAATAATAATGACAGAAGATGAATCAAGATGGAGGAAAGTGAGCGATATATATAGAGAGAGAGAGAGAGAGAAGCCGAGACCCTTATTTGTTACATAAAAAAAAAAAAAATCAGTTTTTAATATCTCATTACTGCAGATGAATAGGCCTTTGAAAAGAGGAAAACCAGAGCAGGTCTCGATTATCATTTTTTTTTTCGTCACCCAACGCCGGTTGGCTGACGAGCGAAAACACTGTCTTCACGTTCGTTTAGAGGGCGCTATGAACAAATCCAAGAGTTACCGCTGTCTCCACAAATAGGCTTATTCTACCTTGTCCAATAGTCCATAACTCTTTGTGTCCTGAGCGGCCTTTGCTATTTGTTCAGTCGTCACCTCCCCCCCCCCCCCCCCTCTCTCTCTCTCTCTCTCTCTCTCTCTCTTAAAACAATTGTTAAGAACACAGAAAAGAAAAAAATCGGAGCGAAAAACCCACCTGCGCCGATTTAATGGCTTGGTTTTGTTTAAGGTTTGGAAATGTACCAAATCGCAGGTGTAGTGAAATTCCTCTGTATTTTTTTCTTCCTTTCTTTTCTAAATACAATGTAGAATAATGAAAAATTGATGGAGCTGAAACACTATTGAGTGTTTGCCTTGTTGACATTGTAAATATGAAAACCCCGTGCCACACAAAATGGACCTCCCGGACGGACAGCCCTGTAGAAATAATATTTCAAAGCACTTTTTGAGCATGCATTAAGCAAATTAAATGATGCCCGTTCCCTTTTATGAATTTGTTTAAAGAATTTACAAAGGGGATTGAATCCGTTCTAACTGATAGACAAAATATTATGTAGTGTGGCATTGTGTTAAGTGACAGAACGAAACAAAATCAACAGTTGTGTGGAAATAATATCGATTATATGAAATCTCGGTTTGTGCATGACGTTAATGCTTTGAAACATCATGAGCTGGTGTGTTGATTGACACCTCTTCCTCTAAACCTTCCTCCTTTGAAAGTTCGAATCAAGATATTTCAGTGGAATGAGTTAAAGAGGCGTCGAGATATAGTGGTTCATCCACTTGACTCTCAATGTAAGGGTTGAGGGATCGAATCCCAGCCCAGCACTCACGTCCTTTGGCGAGATATCAAGTCATATGTGCCACTCTCCACCCAGGTGTAAATGGGTAACTTGCTATTGATGGGGTAATGTTAATTGCAGGGTCCTCAGGAAGAACAGGATTGATGTTGATGAGGCTTCCCTGGGTAAATCATTATATCATATTTGTGCTCTTCTTATAGTCCATTGTAACAATTCATTCGTTACAAAGTCGTCATCCTCATCGTTAATTTTGTTGCTGTTGTGTTGTTGTTGTTGTTGTTTTGTTTTTTCTGCTGCTGCATATTCAAACATCTTTCCCCAACGCAGACAAACCTGGTCCTAATTCCATCTCTCCTCTCCGTTCAAAACTGTGATATTTTGGTTGTTATCTGAAATGAGGGAGTCCTGAATAATAACACAACAAACGGTGATTTCCTATGCCTTTACTGTCATGTCAGGCTGTATGGTTTATTCAGTCATAGTAGATGGCCCTCTGTCGCCCTCTTGCATTATAAAAATTATAATCTGAATTAGATCACATAAACAGAATGTTGTTACAAAAACGTTCTGACGACGTTGTCAGACAAATTGATATTTGAGAAGTGATTGGTATAATATATATTGAAACATAAACAGTGCGAGATCAGGGATCACGCGTGAGTCCACAAAGCAGGCGGAGTTCATCAGGTCACATGCGTGTGGAAATTTACTCGCTTCACGTTGCCGTGACAACAAAATCGAGTCGAAATCTATCAATGTGATGCTTCGTGTGTGATTACTCAAATCGATCTTTACGAAAACTCAACATCAGGATTTATCTTCTTAGGGTTGTAAGTTACAAAAGGGAAACATAACGCTATTTTCACGTCATATTTGACAACGAAATTGTTAACTATATGAATACGATGTGAAGAACATTAATAGGCATGCCTAGGTATTCAAAGTATGATTTCCTTTGTTTCTAGCCACTGTGTTTTACATAATACGCAGTATGATGCAAATGAGATGTACAAAGTGACATAATAGAACAATCCACGAGCATGATGTTATGAATGGAAGCTAACATCCTTTACAGAAAGGAGCTTGTGTTGGATACGCAGTGTTTTACACAGTTTATTGATCACATGATAAAACCCATAACATCGCCGTGACATTCATAGATCTTCATTGTTACAATCAACCAAATAATCACCGTTTAATTAGGTTAGTGATCCAACAGATAACCGTGGATCTCATTTTGTATACGTCTGTAATTTCAAGATGATTCATTAACTTCTGCGAGCATAGGGAGAATTGATATTCTCCGTGTCTTTATTTCCCAAACTACTTATATTGTTACCAGTCTGAAGCTGCTCCTCGATTAAAAGGAGTTCTACTAAGGTTCGCCTTTTTTCTTTTATTTACTATCCACCACAGGCAAGGGCTGAGATGCTTGACCTGTACCAACAAGAACCCATTTTCCAACATAAGACCATGACTAAACGGAAAACCAAGTGGGTACGAAAACGGCAATTCACCTTCATGGAAAACCTTGTTTTTAGACAGGTTTCTACACACGTTTCACTTTCTTAAGCCGTTGCCTGCGGCCTAGTCTGTCAAACGGTCTAAGTTTGATTATGACGTACGGGTCTTTAAGAAAGTGTTCCACGAAATATGACAAAGATTCAAAGTTGAACAGAACCATTCAAAAGGAAGACAGACAAAGAGGTGTAAATTTGTTAGAAAACCATGATGAAGCAATTTATGGAAAACAAAATTTGGCAACAAAAGTGGCAATGCTTGTAATGAACGAAGAACTTATATAACCCACTCATTTGTAAAGAAATATCAAAACCGACCAAGGTTAATACAAAGCAGGAAACAACTAATATATTCTCATGGTTCTTCTGTCTGCGAGAATTTTCTTTTCTTTTCAAATAAATATGCGGTTTTACTAAGCCAAGCTGTAAAGTTAGCTACTAACAATAAAGCATTACTACACAATTCTATGAAATGACACTTAAAAGTCTTTTGACATATATTATGTTTATCATCAGCGACTGGTTAAGAGTAGGTTTCGAGCACTCATCTAATTTCCTTAACCGAGGTTTTAAAAAGAAATAGGCCTTTGTTTGTCTGAAAGTTCGGCGTTTGAAAGATAGATAATGAAAAGCCTCCCAAAAGAAATCATACTCTATTGAGATGTACGAAATCAGGTATTAATAAGGAAAATCTAAACAACCTTAATAGTATATAGCATATTGAAGCCTGTAAAAAAATACCCAACAGATCTTCATGGATGTACCGACCGACTGACAAGCCAATCATTGTTACTTATGTTTAACAAAGTACTTATGAACCGTACGTGCGAATTATGTTGAATAAAGATTGCACCCTTCAGCTGAGCTGTGGTTCTTCCTCTAAGGTTTCTGTTTTCCAATAGCATCTCTAGTTATCTGTTTGCAAGACTCCAGATCGACAACAGACCGAAGAAAAGAAATCAAATTACCCTATGACCAAGAATTGATTGGTTCTGGAGTTGTTCTAGAATCTAGAGGTATTCTGAGGTGTCCAAGAGAAGATGGGGTACGATATGACATGACAAAACGGTCTTTCTTCTTCTTGCAACAAGGGAAAAAAAGAGCAAATTGTAAAACACAGATGTTGTCTTAGGATTTAGCCTTGTTATTCGAAAGAGATTTATTATATTACAAAATCAAAAGATATAGCTTTAAAACAAAGACACAAACCTGAGGATTGCCGTTTTCTACAACTATATATTGTGTCTAAAATGCCAAAAGTAGCAATGCACAGAAAGCCGAAATCAAGCAAAATAAACGCGCTAATAATAATATGGTTAATTATTTGGAATGAAAAGGCAATTATATAGATATGAATTTTATTTTCTTTCGGGAAATACATTTTTGATAGGATCTGAATTATATATATATATAACGTTGAACGGAGGAATGAGCATCATGTTGTCAGAGGAAAATCATTTGCAAAAGAGCAAATTGAAGCCAATTGTTACCTATTAAACCCGAACCAATTTACAGTCACTATTATTCATTAAACGAAATGCATTCAAGAGGATTTTGAGGATGTATCGATTTCTGCTATGACTTTATCCACCCATGGCAAGGGTAAAATAGAATGGACCATTCTACAGTGAGGTCGTTCCGATAGGAATGGAGAAAGGAATTCAAAATGGCCGCTAAGTATCGACGATGACAACAGTTTTCGAGGCTGTGAGAGGCTTTGAGAAAAACACACAAACAAGGAAAGTCACAGATCGATTAAATGAAGAGACAATGGAATGCCGATTGATCTTTTCTTAATATTACATAATGTTCAGCTGAGCGAAATGATATCTAGTCGATTTCATAAAGAATTGCCGTTGAGACAAATTGGATGACATGAAGCACATGAATATTTAATTGTTTACAACCTTGCGTCTTTCCAAAAAGAATTTGTTTCAATTGTAAAGAATATGTTAACACAGATTGTCCTTTAAAGAAGATCAAGAACGGAACATGAATTGCATTGAAACTAATGATTACAACTTGAAAACTTAGGAAGCTATTAGATTTGTATAAGGTAGTATTAGGCACATAGGTCAAAATGTATTTTCTTTGCAATGGTTTAAAAGATTGGTGCAGTATTACTTCGAAGGACAACATTTGGGGGTAAGGTTATTTTTACATGATTATTGTCAACAAAAAAATAAGATTTTAACTCCAAAGGTTACATGCGACTACCCTAATATCCTAATGCAATTGTTATCTAAATTGTTTTATTTCTCATTCCTTTTTTGGGGGAGGGGAAGGGGGTATGGTCCTTGATTTTACATAGATTTCTAGAACGACTTAATTGACTGATTATACTTGACTTTGTTCTTAAGACAATTTTCCTGATCATCTCCGTGTGTTATCCAGAAAAAAAGGTGAAAAGGACCATTCACTGATAGTGTTTTAGCCGGCACAGATCGTCATCTCCTTCTTTTTGAATCTTTATACTTTACAAAGTGATTCTAACACCAAGCGCTCTTCCTCGAAGGGCCTTTTGTTTTAATTAAATTCTCCTTAGGGTGACAAAGCTGAGTGCCGCTTTCAAAAAGCGGGTACTATATGGCCTCGAGATCTTTCTTTTTACTAGATCCTTGAGAGGATTTGGATGCAATTTAGGACCAGAATTAGCTTGAAATCAAATTTATCGATTTGTCGAGTTTACGGGTAGGTCTACACGAAAGAAAAGAGTTATACGTAGCAACACCAATCCTGGTATTTGTACATTTGTGAAATCGCAGTCCTAAATTTAGGGTTGTAGTTTAGGGAAAGGATGTGCATTGACCTTCTAAGTCTTGTATCTTACAGAAAAGCCTTTAATAAACATGGAATGTTATAGGGATTTACATTATGTATCGGAAATGTTGAAACAAAATGAAGAAGTTCGAGTGTCCACGTCTTTGTCGGTCGGGAAGTCGATGTCAGGTTGACCATCGATCATGTTATAGAAGTAGGTAAGTCAAGGTCATTCTTTAAAAGAGTCAACGTCAGAACTGAAGGTCATATGCAATGAAGAGCTATTGAATTAAAAGAATAAAGAAAAATCGTAAACGCAAGTAAATCTTAACTGAAATAATGACTAAAAAGATTGGTTAATCTTTTTAAATAAAGTAACTTACGAAAGGTCACCTCCACTAAGTAACACTCGATTCAATGTCATCAAGGTTTTAGGATCTTGAAAAACTTAATTTTAGGCTTATTAATTTGTGACCTGCCCATATGACATTAATGAGGACAGTCAGTGCATTTTAAATGATGTAAAATTAGCTGCCTTATGTCAAACGAATATATTTTGGTAATGAATTCCAAATCACCGGTAGATTACACAGAGGAGATTTTTCTTCATACGTAAACATAATTTTCCAACGATGAAAATTGGTTCGATTTCTTGGGTTCTAATTATGAATACCGGTACTAAGACTCGTAGGGAACATGTTCTAAATTGTATATGGAAGAAGATTATGAAAATAAAGGAAACCTAGCACTGCTGTATGATACTGGTATAAATCAAATATATTCAAGGTTTTGAGCTTGATAAAAAGAGGAGCGGAATGAGCAAGATAATGGCTACTAGTACAAATACGCAGTACTGTTTTCTGTAATTTAAATTAAGATGTTCATTTTCAGTTTGCCCAAGTTGAAATGTTTGAGGAGTGGAAACATTTTGTTTTTCTTTAAAATGTTAGATTAATACTTTAACAACCTGGGTCTAGCAGTAACAAAGGTGAATCCAGCCAGTTAAAAGGGTAAATCTACCATATCGTCGTTACCTTCTTAAAATAATGGCCATATTTTCAAGATTTGAGAAAAACAGAGAAAACTGAACCAAAAATAGAATAAGTGCTGTCTATCAAATCTGTTCCATAAGAGGATTAGAATACTTGCAAACAAGCCGTTGTGACTTACCAAAGCAATTTTACACCTGACTTAGGCCAAATTAATCGTGGAGTAAGCGACTTAGGCACCAGTTTACTTTATTTATTCCCCCTACAAACAATAACGTTGAAGGAAATTAACACATTTCCATTTAAAACAAGTTCTCCCATGTTTCTCATTCGTCTTCGTTGAACTTGATGCAAAGTCACATTTCTTGACATGTAGGCCCAAAAGTAAAATGGTCTGGACTTATATGCATATAAGTATAATATATTTAATTTAGCACATATGTCATTTAACAAAGGTGGCTATCCTCATGAAAAGATGGCTCGTGCAAAATAATATTTTCTTCAAAATGTGACACAGGCCATTATTTTAAGAAGATGACGATATTGAAAATGTTGTCACTCCTAAAACCTTTTTAAAGTGTTGATTGAGCATTTGAGTTTCAAGAGTGTAATTATCAATGCAGGCAAATAATGACACTGTATGAAAAGAGAAAGGTTAATGAGCCAATACTCCTGAGAAAGAGAGAACACCAATATGATAATTTAATATCATATTCTCCCTCCTGTTTCTTATTCGGTAATTGAAAAGTTGACGTACTCTGTCAGCACGTTTGATTTACAAAATAGTAATGGTGAGATGGTGTAATACACGTATGTTTCTACGAAGTATGTGTTTTGGAATACTCCATACATTTTTTGGTCAGTAATAACAACTGAATACAACAGTCCTATACCTTCGAGATTAGTCTATGAGCCATGAACTTAATGCGGTTTATCATAATTCATTGCGGAAATCGGACACCTTCAAACTGGAGAATGTTTTAACAAGATTTGAGAGGATATGAGTAACTCACCGATTTCAAAGTCGTCGAATCACATGATACAGCTGTCATTGAACTAGGCGATATAATATTCACCCCCAAACTTGACCGCAGTTCGATGATTATGCTGCCATTTGTCTTCTGAAGAACGTTTTAAGAAAAATATATAACCCAATGATCAAATTACTAAAAACTCTATGATATATCGTTGTGTTTTGTCAGATATATGGATCTCTTACGACTGCTGTCATACACTTCAGTGGACAAAACACCGTCGCACTCGAGCTTGTTGAATCTTTCCACTTTGGCGAAAATCTTTATTGGACGGATCCGCGGGCGAACAAAGTTATTCCAAACAATATCGTGTGTACGTCCAGAGAGCTTTGCACTTTGTATCGATTTATCACGAGCATGGAGAGGAACGCAAGGAGATGATGATAAAAGAAGAAGAAAAGAGCTGTATGGATGAAAAGATTTTGGAGTTGTTAGCGGTGGGTCGTTTTTGTTCGCGTGCACTATTGCGGCACGGCGAGGCGACGTAGGGGCGATGGGGGAGGGCGGTCTCTGTCAGTTATTTAGATCGGCGCTGTGGTTGCTATGCAACAAGACTTGATTTGGGGTCGAGGGGGTGGGATCCCCGTGCGTGCAGGAGCGAAAGGGTGAGGATGAAAGGTCACAAGGTGAAGATGCGACGTGAAGGACGGGTGAACTTGAATGGCAAGCAGCCAATGGAAAAATTATCTGTTCCCAAGGATATTCGATTGAAGAGTATGATACCAACCATAATGGATGGGAGAGATTTGATTTAGACCTAGTAAAGTGGAAAGTTGAGGGGAAAAGCAGGAATATAATTAGTTCCCTAACTTGGAAGTAATTCAAAAGTATGTACATATCTCAGTGATGTTAAACTTGTCGGATAGTGTCATCAAATTTTGTCTTGCATTGTTTGTTAATGGTATACACAAATCAACACAATACAGATATCAAATTGAAACATCAGACAGCTAATTCAGCTCTTTTTAATGTAATCAAAGGAGATGTCCTTAAACAAAACAAGCTCCTTCATAATGTTAGGGTGACGGATGGACGGATGAGCATCGTCATGCCAAATCTGTGATCAAACTTCACTAAGAAGACATGCAAAATTGTCTAACATTTCGTAACAATCGAACTCGAATAACCTTTAAACTCATCTTTCTCACCTAATAAGCGAGATACAATCAATAGTAAATGTTTGGCGTGACAACATAGTCCTTTATCAAGGTGAAAAGCTTTGATCAAGGCGACAAAGAAATAAGAGGGAAAATAAAGCAACATCGTGGAAATCTATCTAGAAAACGGAGGTCGAACCAATGGTAAAGGGAAAACAAATAAATGATAAAGATTGAAAGATAATCATGACCCGATTAAACTGATTATAGTCAATAAAGATATCGTTGTAATTCTATGGTTTAAGGATAGAAAGATTAAAAGGTAGACAAAATAAAACGTTGACGAAAGAAGGGAAATGTGCGTTATACGGGGAAGAAAAGGGGCAAAATAAATAAAATAAATGATAAAGATGAAGAAAGAAATCGCACAATGATTGGATTATGACCTGAGATCATGATCGTTGTAATTCTTTGTTTAAAGGATATACTTAGACAGATTAAGAAGTAGACAAAATAAGATTTTGACGAAATGTGCGTTGTATGAGGAAAAAGAGGGGCAAACATTAATGATAACGATTAAAAGATAGAAAATTGCACAATGATTGGCTTATGATCTGATTATACTGCTTCGTCAATAACGCTATCATTTGAATTCTCTGGTTTAAGGATAGATTGGTTGAAGGATAGACAAATTACATTTTGAGTAAAGAATAGTCAGGGAGTTATATTGGGGCGAGCAGAGGGGGGGGGGGGGGGGGGGGTCATTCCTATTATAGGAGGGAACCTTGCATCACTTCCATAAAAGGTATATTTGTTAATCAACTCAATCAAGGGCACTTTCAATATCTCTTTGTGTACTGAAATCCAGTTCGGATTATGTTATTTGCTATAATTTCGCATATTTTAAGAGGTGGCAGATATACTGCCGAAGATTGGTTTGTCGAAATGGTTTAAGAGAAGCATCACCGAAAGAAGAGGCACAATCAAGAGAAGGATGGTAAGATAAAAGATAGTAAGATAAAAGATAGTAAGATGAAAGATAGTAAGATAAAAGATAGTAAAGATAGTAAGATGAAAGATAGTAAGATGAAAGATAGTAAGATAAATGATTGAAAAACATTAGAAGCAGAAGGAAAATATGTAGTTATAGTAAAAGTGGAAAACACAAGAATTAAGCAGTGGTTAAAAAAAAACGCACAAAAAACGCATCTCTGAACATAGCCTGAGAAGCAAAACCGAGAGTGGAAATAAAAAATTGAAAAACATTAGAAGCAGAAGAAGAAATTGTAGTTATATTTAAGTGGAAGACCTAAGAATTGAGCAGTGGTATAAAAATATAAAAAAACTCTGAAACAGAAAGCCTGAGAAGCATAACCAAGAGTAGAAATAAATGACAAGGGAAAAAAGAAAAAGTAGAAGTAATTGAAGGTAAAAAAACAAAACCAGAGACAAAAGTAAAGTTAAAATATAGACAAAACCAGATGTAATATTTTAAGGATAAATGTAAGCAATACTAAAAGTTGTTTAAAAGCCACAGGGAGTAAAATTGTTGACAAAATAATGGGTAATATATAATTATAGTATAGAAATAATAATGTGTGGTTGTATAGAAAGAAGCGAAGAATGATAGAGAGGGAAAGGAAAGAAAGAGAAGTATTTATGACAAGCCATGAAAACCTCAATCAACAGCCATCAAATTCGATATATATCACAATTAATCGGTGATCATAACCAAACCGCCCTCCACATGTCCATAAACATAGGTAATCTTGAAATGCTTACACAACTCAGTGATCGTCTGTTTGGAGCCAGGAAGGGGTTAGCTCATATACTTTAAAACAGACTTAACGCCCTTCCGGTTCCAAACAAACGAAAACATGATCGCAAATACTTTCGAAAATTCTACGTAAAGCCAATTTCAATGGCTTGTATGTCACCTTTTGAAATGTGCGAACATTACGATAGCATATTTTGATATAATTTGATATCATTTGATATAACTTTATCAGCTGTAAAACGTTATTATGAAATGGAAAAATATATATACCAAACAAATCTCAGAGAGAATAAATTGAAAAAGAAATGGTTTCACTTTAGAAAATATTTTGAGAGTGTTGGAAATGTGCTAACATAAACATGATCATGTATTTTATGTTTGGTATTTGTTTTAATTATATATTTAAAGTACTAATTTTTCCATAAATGTTTGTTTTTATCTGCCACAAAAGTTTTCGGAAGTCATGATTATTACCTGTGTCAAGCCATTATGTATGGAAATTATTTCTGTAATTATTTGTATATATGATATATGGATATACTGTATATGATGGAATTTGTTTTGAAAATAAAGAACCCTGTGGAAGGGGGAAAAAAAATTACGATGGCATATTACGGAATCCCAACATTGTTTTTATGGGACATACGTAGGACATTGACATTTACCTCAAGTTGATTTTCTTGTTGAAAGTAGTCGCAATCACGCTTGAAATACACTTTCAAATAAAAGTTCGGAGACAAAAGTAAAATTCAAGTTCTGCTTTGACTTTGTCCAATCGATCATGAACATATTTTATTGCATTACTTCAAATTGATGACAATGGACGAACTGCAATGAGAAACAATAATTACTTTAAAGAATGGCTTTTATATTAATTATCTCTACATTTTTGTAAACCTATATTTTGCTATAATTGCACTATCCTTTAGCCCTATTTCACATCTAGTACACTAAATCAAGATATTCTTATTTTAATTCTACAGAAAAGATTGGTTGCGTTTCATTTGACAGAACTCAGAGCGTCCTTTATAATCCTGGTCGCTAGTACACTGGTCACTGCAGTATAGACTACTGAATACAAACATAATAACAGTCGCAAGTTAGAGAATCTGAATTATATGGACCTACTAGCCAATAGCTTTAGAATTAAACCAATAATCAATCGCAAAAGGGTCAAAACCACCTCTATTTATTACCACTCAACATTTACTGACCATCTTTTTATAGATTTATTTAAGATAATTGAATGTTTGTGGCAAGATTAAATTTAGATAAGTGGGGTGTACCTTCTCCCCTAAAAACATAACACAGGTATTGTAAGTGTTCATGTAAATAAATGGATTTGGTTCTATTCAATTTGACTTTGAATTTCTGCTACTCTAAAAATACAAATGATTAGCAAGTCTTATATTAAATTTGTTGGCGTTCCGATGTCTACTGTTGCACTGACAATGCCATGATTAAAATTGACTACAAATTTGTCACTATCAGTTTTTGTATCATCAGATACAGAATTGACTTGTTATTATTTTTTTGTTTTAATAATTATCAGGTCTTATGACATACAGTAATTATGACTCTATCACAAACATAACTTGTTGATTTTTACTTGAATGAAAAAGATATCACCGTTAGACAAATAAACAAATGATGCATTCTACAGGTCTTAGCATTTGTTAGCTTATGCTTCACATCTTGAAATTGTATCTGCAATTTCTGTGGAGAGAAATTAGAACTGTATCCTCACGTGGCTCAGTCCCTCATATAGGACTGTAAGGTTGTGCATTACCTGCATAATACCTTAACAGTATACAACTGCTTTTGTAGCATTCAGGTTCGAAAAAACAAACACTGTATAAAGTATCTTATCAATCAAATAATGCAGCACACAACCAGTGCATGAAGAAAAAAAATGCCCAACTAATACAAACGTAAATCCATAAACGAGGGATCACTTACAAGGTATACAGTAGGGCTGTCATCATCAGCTCGAGTTTGCCAAATAACACGCTATTTTCAGACTCGGGATATTATCCCGAAGCTCGAAATTGCGTCTTTACCAGACCAATACGCTCATCACAAACTAGCTCAGATGGGCGCAAATTAGCTTCCTATTTCCCAAATAGTGGGATATTTTGGAAACAAGGCCAAGATTTCTCGACCACATATATCCTGCTAATTAATAATAATAATAATAATAATAGCCTAATAGTCCACTCCAAATTGCAATTGCGGGCTGATGACGACGCAAATTTGCATTCGGGATAGTTAAAATAGCGGGTTATTTTGCAAAATTGAGCTGATGAAAATGGGCCTAGTGTGCATTACTAAAACATTGACAAAGAGGGCAGATCTCGGCAAATTTACTTTGATGAGGAGTTGAGCTCACAACCAAATGGCAAGGTCACAAGTAAAAGTGCGTAGGGAAACAACGGACAATTAAAGTGTGCTTTCGAGAAAAATGTTTTTCCTTGTGATTGGTCCAGATCTACTTCATTTCTTTCATTCATCATGAATAACCGAAATGAATAAGGTCTGCATCACTACTGTGGGAAAAATTCTCAAAAATTCTTCATAATTATCGTTCCAATTCACGCAGTTCCACAGTTCTTAACATTTCATAGTGTACACATACATCTTCTTTCCACATGAAAAGAAAAGAACTTCTTTTTCCAATATGCCCATAACAACGTCTTATCAATAACAATTTAAGACTTCTTTGACAATAGAAATTGAGTTTTCATATGATGGGAGCTTCAATGAGGGATTCTACATCTAAATTATCTCTATTTTTCTATTTTTTTTTTCTTCATTCCTTCTTCTCTCTTTTTTTTTTTTGCAGCATGACAAATTTGAAGAATGTTTTCAAAATGAAACAAAAAGGCACCAATGCTGATTACACGTGAAAGCATTTACAAAACTCAAGTAGACATGTGAAAAGTGGAAGAGAACCGGCAAACACGTAGTCATAAAAATATACAAACTCACAATTTAAAAGTATCTATAAATGATACACACAAATATAGTCTACAATAGATCATAATCTACACAATATAATTTTCACCCCCAAACAGAGATAGACACTTTGATAGCAGATAAGAGCAAATAAAGGTCTTCTGCTGTCTGTACAAATATATATCTAATTTTGCAAAACAAGAGTACCGGTCGTCTAATGATGAATCTTTTAATGGTGTTGTGATAATAGAATAACAAATAAATGGCATATTAAGGAACAACGTACAAACAAGATACCTTTGTCATTATATTTAGTTATGCAGTCGGCAAAATGCTTTAGTCCTTGTTAAAATAACATATATATGCATATGACAAACAGGTGATAATCTTGCATTTCAAAGTATGACTTGATTAGATGGGAAAGCAATGTTTTGCTTTTAAAGTTTCATTTCATTAACAATCATTTCACAACACGTAATATTTCCAACAGAGAAAAAGGACAGCTTGGCCAAAATTCCTTGACTGGGTAAAAAGGGTCCAATTTTCAGTGTCATCTTCACAAAAAATGACACTGGTTCTCTCTCTCCCACACTATCCAATGGTTGTAAGATAGGACAAAGTCATGATATCTCAAAATGATACTGCACCAGATTTTTAGATTCTACAATATTACACAATAGCATTTGAATGATGCTACATTGGGAAACAAACATTTCTAGATGCTAAAATATTCCATGATAGTTTCATTTCACTGTTTTCTATTTTATGAGAATCAGACTTGTCTCGGGGTGCTACAAATGATAGCAAATTTAAGCTTTCATCACTGAACAAACTCATTGAATTGTACTTGCAATAATAATATCCAATTCGATTGACAGAAACACCATATCATACATGCTCAAAAATAGTCGTGAAGAGTACAAAATAATCCTCATTGTCACCAGAAGACGTATCGCGTTACAAGGCATTTTCGTTTCGTTTTTCGATGTACTCTATTTAAACATTGATAACTTAAAGTGCTCACACAAAGTCAATATATAGTATTTTTTTCAAGTACACTTTGCTGTTTAAAATGTAATTAAATAGACTTTTATTTATAGAACATTATTAGCTTTCAATCAATAATCACATTATCTGTATTACGTAGGTACTGCACAAACCTGCTGATGATGCTGATACACAACGATTTTTGACAAACATAAAACAAGAAACAGTATTAAATACCTCTGTCACAGCAATGAGGCCAACACCAGGACGACACCAGGCCAACACCAGACCTACACCAGACTGAACACCAGACCAAACGCAGAGTTAAATGAACCCTAATGGCCAATAACTGATCAGTTTGGAGTCGTATTTGGTGGCGTGAGTGAAGTAAATAAGGGAGGGATAGCACTTGGGGAAACTTCAAGAATACCTACCCTTAGGTAATCAATAGAACCCAACAAAGTGGACACAATCTAAATCAAAGTCTTCCTTGATGGAAACATTGATCACTTCATAATTACATGAACCTTTTACAAGCCCGGAGACTGTACATTTCGCTATCTCTTAATTTTCATATTCCTTCAACGGTTTTCCAATGGATACGAATCCGATCACTGTCTGGATCAGACTTTAAAGGTGAACATTGAAATTCTTTAAATAGGAAACCTTCTATTTGTGAGCACCGTGGTGAAGTGGTTCATTCATGAGTCCCTTCACTAACATTAGCCCATAATACAATGCAATGAATGATTTGTACACTGTACATCGGGTGTCTACGGGACAAACCGCAACCATACAGACACATAAAAAAACTCTCTTTATCACAACACAAGACAAAACACTCCCACACTGGATAACAATGCCGCAATGATGTCACACCAGTTACACATATATTTGACGAGGAATGGAATCTCTGATGCTAACACTCTAATACATTTACACGCAACACTGTTCCCTTGGTTTCATTAGCAAGTACTGACCGGATTTAGAGTTCATTTGCGTACAAAGAGTTGTATCTATCACTCAGAAAAATGCACACCAATGCGATAAAGACACTGCAAGATTTATACCACGTCTGAAACCCTAATACTCAAGATGCTTTATACAATTTTACCACCATTATGCTTTTGATTTTCAATTAAAGCCCCACTGCACTACTTACAGCGCCCTCTATATAGCAAACAATGCCTAATCGGTGCCTGTTGGTCCCCCATGATCCTCTTTTTCTTATGTTAATTGAGAGCTGATTTGATGAGATAACCATGTGTCAGTGACCTTGCAGGGAGGTCTAATCCCCCAGGCCAAACTAGTACAGACAGGCTTTAAAGCTTTCAAACATGCCCCCCATTCCTCTGTTTTCTGCAAACATTTGGCCTACTCGGGGCTTCTTTAGCCCATTGGCTACCACATTCTTTCCTTCCCATACGCTTCATACAAGAATCACCAGGGGCCCCCGTTTCATAAAACTTGTTATCTATAACAAATTTTCTCTCAGCCAATCAGATGCCATGATTTCAGTAGCTTATAACAGTAGCTTGTAACTTGTTATTGATTTCAAGTTTTGTGAAACAGGGCCTTGGTTCCCACAGGCAATGGGTTGAAATGGGTATGTCACAGAAATGTGGAAGCTGCTATCCTTCAAATCTAACTGTGGAAATACCATATTATGAAGATGATTATGAATATTAGGTGCAAAGATGGCTGGCAGGAACTGGAAGGTATATTTGAGCTTTTACTCTTTGTATGTATTTTCAGCATTTCAACCGAAAAATTTCGACACAATATAACTCCACTATCAAGCTTCTTTAATAGCATTCAGTTCATGGATACTTAGGCCATTTTTTAATATTTTTTTTTTAGCTAGGTATTTTTCATGTAGCCTTTCAAGCTCCTTACTATTTTATAACTATTTAAAAACACAATGACCGTAGGTTTTTACTAGCTTTCATTGCCCTGTTATCTGATTTTTTCTTCTTCTAATATTGATATTCTTGTATTCTTCCATCTATCATTTTATCTGTTTTTACTCCCCTATGTTCTATATTCCTACCTCATATCAATCATGTCCTCATAAGGTGGACACTTCGAAGCATAGATGTAACAATTATAATTATTTCCTCCATTTCTATTGTACACAATCGATTGCAATCTTCTTAATTCGTTCAAAATTAAATGACGCACAGCATGCTTTGTTCGTTGGGAGCAAAAAAGGCATTTACTGTGTCCAACGATAGCACTTAACGCCCTTCTGGCTCTCAGCTGATGATTTGGTGTGCGTCCTTGGTACTTGGTTGAGTTAAATCCCTTTGGCAGCTCACTTGGGAAGCTATACTGGGGTCGTCCAAGCTGTAGGGGGTTTAACCCTTCGTCCACGTCGGTTGGCAGAATGGAACAAGCACACTGCTGCAGTTGACTTTTGTCACAATACGATGCGTCCATCTGCTGTCTGGAAACGTTGACCAATGGGGGCTGAGAGATGGAGAGGGACATACTGACCCTCCGGGGCGAGGGCGGGGGGAGTCCAAGGGGGCCGAGGCTGGGTGATTCATCATCTGGCAAAGCGATGCTCCTCAACGTCAAAGTTCATGATTGGCATGGGTATGTCGTCCATGTTGGGCAGCACAAAGACTCTCTGAAAATAGACGATGAGAACGAAAGAATAAAGTTGATGTAGGGTTATAAGGGCATCCCTAATGACAAAATTGACTACGAATGTCCTGACAAAAAATTTAAATACCGACAGCATTCTTGAAAAATATTAAAATTGATATTAAATAGGTACAAAAAGTAAGAAATTACAACAGACCACAAAAGATTCTTTGCTTTCTAGTTATTTGGAGGTAATTCAACAGTCTGATGCCATAAAATAGTAAAATCTCACCAATATATTTTGCAAGTGGTAAAAAATTGACATAATCAACAATGTTTTAGACTAAGATTGCAAAATCATTTGGTTAATTTTGTTTTAGAGTAAAGCCTTATTGAGATATGCCTCAATAAACTATGGAAGTTTTTCTATGATGATGTATGGTGTAATACACTTCACATTTCTGCCTCTTAAAACACAGAGCTCAAAGAATACATTTTGGATCTTTGTTGCGTGCAGTTGCAAATCATTACCCCTGCCCTCCCCCCCCCCCCCCCCCCCCCCCCCCCCCCCCCCCCACACCTTCAACAAACAAAACTTTAGTCTCTGGGCTCTTCAAATATTCTATTTATTGGATTTTTGCCCATATAATTTATGTGCACCATCTCCATTTCCTGCCATGTATTCACAGTGACAGCAAACCACAACCTATTCAATTAAAGAATGGTTATCATGCATCCCATTAATTTCCTCTTTTATCCCCTGGGTATAGAGAGGCATATGTAGGTAAGCTGAAGTTGATCCTGAGTTGACAACCTAACTGCTAGATTTACTGGTTCTTAATTTTCTTGGCATCTCGTATACCTATTCAATGGCATCAACCCCCCCCCCCCCCTCCCCCTACTGTTATGTAACTGTTCACAGACTTTACCCATTTATCTATCCCCTCCCACCTCAAAGACCCTAAATTGTGCCTATGGCTAGCTTGGTTGTCCCACACTTGCTCCTGCGACAGTTGCTCTGCAGTATTTTCCTACACCAACCAAATTCCTGACTTCAACACTGGACCCAACACTGTATCTGACTCTGACCTTTAACCTAGGCTACGACCGTAACCACCAAACCCTAACCTAACCGTATACTTTTGCTGACATGAAAAGTCTGGAGCAATTCCAGCCGCAGCAATTGCCGCCGGAGCTGTCAAATCACCAGGCAAGGAACCACAGCACTAGAACCTAGGGACTTTTAGATTTGCGTGGACTGATGCGTTAAAAGGATGTCGACCGTAGCAATCCCCATTGTCTTCGTGCAAATCTAAAAGTCCCTAATGATACCTCTATCCCCCGTGGCTGTGATGGCAATCCTACCTGAAACTCTTTCTCTAGTTTCTTCTCGATGTACTCGGTGATGTGTGTGATGGTGACCTGTCTCGTCCCTAGCTTAGGCTTGGCTGACAACCACAGGTGAGGCTTCCCACGGAATCCATACCTGAAGAAAAACAAAATAGTGCTTGGAGATAAAGTTTGTGGAATGAACTTCAAAATATTGTTACACATGAACCCAGCCTAAGGCACGATGGCTCATAGGTTGAGCAGTGGTCTCGTAATCGAGAGGTCCCGGGTTCTAAATCAATTTGATGAGTTAGTGCCCCTTGGCAAGGCATTAATCTTCATTATCAAATCACTCGGACAGGACTTAAAGCCGTTGGTCCCCTGGTTGCTTACTTACAAGCATATTCATGATGTTTAGAAGTCAGGTAAAACCAACCAACCAAACATGTACTTCTATAAAAGGAATGAATTCATCTTGAGGGCCTCGTACCTCCGTCACATCCGCAAACCAACTGACATTCCTCTGATATTTTTTTTTTTTTTTTTTTTTTTTTTGGGGGGGGGGGGGGGGGTCAATCTACCATAACAGATAAACTGTCAATCTAACTGGCATGGTGTCTTCTAGTACACTGATACCACTCTCAGACTTAGGTGGGCCGAGTCAGGACCAAGATCGGATCGATAGTTGTTGTGGTCGAGTGGTCTAAGCACTTGACTTGAAATTCAAAGGTCGTGGGTTCGATCCCCGACACGACACTTATGACTTTTGGCAAGGCATTTGTCTACATTTGCCACATAATACCCAGGATAGAAATGGGAACCAGACAGGATGACGAAAGCCTTTGTTAGTAATTGTCATATGCCCCTTACGGTGATCATATGGTAGGAATACTCCATATAGAGTGGAGATGGTGCAAATTGTGCATGAATGAATTTGATGATCTGGGTAATAATATCTGTAAAACGCTTCATAGAGACAGTATTTCATATTAAGCGCTATGTAAATCCAGATTATTATTATTATTATCAATATGTTATGACTGGGAAAAGTACTAATGGTTGCAATCCTTTCATGCTTCTATGGGTGGTGGAATGTTCACAGTCAGTACCCCTCTCAGTTCCTTCACTTCTACGGTGAGTTCCACCAATGCCTTCATCCCCCCACCCCCCCCCCCTTCCATCATCCCCCCCCCCCCAAGCCTAATGTGAACAGCACCTTCACTCATTCTTACCATACTCTATCAGATGGGGGTGGTGGAATGTTCACAGTCAGCACCCCTCTCAGTTCCTTCACTTCTACGGTGAGTTCCACCAATGCCTTCATCCCCCCACCCCCCCCCCCTTTCCATCACCCCTTCACCCCTAGCCTAATGCGAACAGCACCTTCACTCATTCTTACCATACTCTATCAGATGGCGGTGGTGGAATGTTCACAGTCAGCACTCCTCTCAGTTCCTTCACCTCCACTGTGAGCTCCACTGCGGTGTTAGACACTTCGTTGAAGGCTCGCTTGACGTACTTATTCTGCGTGGCCCTCTGGAAGTAGTTTGAGTTGGCAACCTTGTTCACAAACCTCAGTATCTTGCTGGAGCTACGAGTTCTGTGAAGAAGAGAGGTTACACCCTTTGTTAACTTGGAGGGAAAAAAGACTAAGATGCCCTTAATATCAAACACATTTCATTTATTTTGCAAAATCTTTGATTTTCTAAAGTAATTCCCATATAAATTCTAAGAAAATAGAATGATTAAAATCCGGATCTTGCTAGAGCTACGAGTTCTGTGAAGAAAAGTGGTTGCAAATGACATACCCCTTTGTTAATTTGGAAAAAGCACAAAGATTCTCTAAAGATCAAACCCATTAATTTTGCAATCTTTGATTGCTAAGGTAATTCCACTAATATTAATTTTAACAAATCAAGCTGATTCAAAGTTGTATTAAAGGAATTATGGACAGAGATGGCCGCTATTGTACAATATTTTTTCCAAAATCGGAAAGAGTACACTGCTGACATCAGAAAACTGTAAATTTCTTGTAATTATGAATATGAATAAGATTGATTTACTTTTATGAAATATAAATTAATTCCAACTTGAAAGATGAAATGGAACAGATAATCATTTTCTCTTTACTAATATAAATAATACAGTCAAACCCGTCGATAGCGACCACCCAAGGGAAACACAAACGTGGACAGGTTCCTTTTAATAGTACATGTTTCAATGAGAATGTATTGTCAAGGGAAACAAAAAATTGTGGTCTTTGTAGACATGCGGTCACTAAAGCAGGTTTGACTGCACTCACAACACTATGAATGACAGTACAGTGAAACCTGTCTAAAAAGACCACCCAAGGGAGACAAGAAAAGTGGCCTTTATAGGCAGGTGGTCTTGATGTACAGGTTCCTTTGGTACAGGTTTCAATGAGAAATCGTTTTCAAGGGAAACAAAAAATGTGGTCTTTGTAGACAGGTGGTCTTTCTTTACAGGTGATCATAAAAGCAGGTTCGACTGTATTACTGGTACTAAAAGCCCCACTGTCCTACTTGTAGCTACTTGCTCCCTCAATATAGAAAACTTCCCCAATCAGGGTTGGTCCCCCATGATCCTCTTTTTCTTATGTTAGTTGAGAGCTGAGTAAATGAGATAGCCACCTGTCAGTGACCTCGCTGTGTGGTCTAATCCCTTCTGGCCCAGTAGTGTTGACAGTCTTTAAAATATCCTTTTTGTCCCTGATTCCACATTTCTACCCCTTACCCGTCTTCTGCGAGTCCTGCATCATTGCTGCTAGTAGTACTGTTTGTCTCCTCCGCCACCTCATCATCCGAGGACTCCGCACTGTCCTCCTCTTCACTGTCGAGGGCAGCAGACATCTGCCTCCTGCGAATCAAGAGAAAGGTTTTACAGTTTAATCATGGCTCGTGAACTTCACAGTAATTAGAAATTCTGCTAGCTCTATAGATATAAAATATCTTTGTAAAATAAGTGCAAATTAATTCACATACATGTAAACAAACTTTTTATACAGAATAAAAATACCGATCATGGAATGCTTGGATATTATCAATTTGTTTGTTGTTGATAATCTATGATGCAGATAACATTTTTTATACAACACCTACGTGGATCCTTGTCATTTGATTGGAGGATTGTTGGTCACATGATATTCAATAGATGTTATATTGCACGGTCGTGCATTTTTGGTTATATGCGCCGTGCATTTTTGGTTATATGCAGACTGCGTACCTCTCAGCCATGCGCGCGCGTATCCCTGCGTGTATCTGACGCGAAGGCAATCTGAATGTAATCGAGAAGGCTTGACTCCAACTTTAATTTATCTTTAATATAAGGAGTAAAGCATAATTTGTTGATTAACGTTCTATTAGATCTTCTTCAATGTTGTGTAAAACAAATAATGAATGTTTTTCATTCGTTCAATGGTGCGAATATTTTCATTCGTTGAAAGATTAACATTAATTCTATTCAACTCGGCTGACGCCTCGTTGAATAGAATGTTAATCTTTCAACTCATGAAAATATTCGCACTATTGAATTCATAACCATTCATTATTTGTATAATATTTATATATACATGTATTTATGTACTGATAAATCTGTTTCAAGTATGAAAGTTAATCAACTGGAGAGATTAGTAATAAAGTTATTTTCTTTTCAAATGTTAGTATAACAACGTCTTTTAATGAGTGACGAATATAAAGCTGACATGTATATTTACAATGAAAATGTGAATTTTGATATTAGTGAGGCAATGAAATGTTATGTAGATGTATACTTTTGGACAAGAAAGTATTTAGACTCTGTCCCCTTATAAAAGGTGCTGAGATACTGGGACTTGTTCATATCATACTCATAATGCAGCATGTTTTAAGAATTTGTTGTTCTTCATGTAAACACTGCTAGACACGAGCTGGGTTAGAGCACAAAGGACCCTCTATAACTAAGAAAGACCCTACATTGTAAATTTTGGTGATACCTGACAGGGTTCCCTATAATATTTGCTTTTTAATCTATTCATAGGAGATGATGTTCCTTTTTTATAAGTAAAGATAATATCATTACAATGTACAAGTTGGCATGGAGTTCTCTTTTTAGGAATAAACTGCATGTAACATATGGATGCAGGTTTTCATCCACTTTGATTTTTGACATGATGAAACATTTGACCGTTCCTCATTGTTACAGCTTTGATACAAATACAATTCTAGACCATATCATCCAAATACGTGCAGAGTGCATCTCCTATGATTTTGTTTCATGTTTTTCTCTTTAAGGACATCGGATTGATAATGTCTTATTGTGTTTCCTTCCTGCCCTGAGTCATTAATCCTACATGTAGCATGGTACGAGTGAATCAACAGGCCTGTCATCATCAGCTGGAGTTTACCAAATAATCCGCTATTTTCAGACTCAGGATATTATCTAGAAACTTGAAATTGCGTCCTCACCAGACCGATATGCTCATCACAAACTAGCTCAGACGGGCGCAAATTACCGTAACCCGCTATTTCCCAAATAGCGGGATATTTGTGAAACAAGACCGAGATTTCTCAAGATATTTTCTTGACCAAATATCTGTTAATTGCAACTGCGGGCTAATGAAGACGCTATTTAACTGGTTAATTTGCGATCGGGATAGTTAAAATAGCGGGTTATTTGGCAAACTCGAGCTGATGATGACAGGCCTACTGATTAGAACTCTAGCCCTGTAATTGAATGATATGCACTTGGGACTTTTTTGCAAATTGAGAAGGAAATACTTTAAATTTTGTAGGTAGGTTTTTTTGAAGTATTCCTAGTCTTGATAAAAAGTTGAGAAGGCAAAATGATATGCCTTCATGAAAAAGATCTGAAATGCAATGCACTTGGGATATTTTTGCAAACGGAGCAGGAAATACTTTAAATTTTATTAGTTAGGTTTTTGTGAAGTAATCCTAGTCTTGATAAAAGTACAAAAGGCAAAACGATATGCTTTCATGAAAAAAAAAGAAGACTTTTTTGCAAGCCGAGCAGAACATACTTATTTTTTGTTAGGTAGGAATTTGTTTAAAGTATTCCTAGACTTGATAAAAGTAGAGAAGGCAAAACGACATGTTTCATGAAGAAAACAAAAGATCTTGTGAGAGGCAAGAATGATAAGCAAATGGAGAAATAACTTGGATACAGTACTATCTATAGAATGTGGATCCCCCCCCCCTCCCCCCCCCCCCCCAAAAAAAATAAATTTAAAGATAAAGTCCAGTTATGGTCATGCGATTGCAATGTGCATGAAACGTTGTGGAATCGATCAGAAAATGTTGATCATCTAGCATATAAGTATTGGTGTCTACTGCAAGGTTCTGGAATCATCAAAATGATAAAAAATTTGGCCCAGTCTTTGTAAAGTTACAAGCACTGTACACTGAAAGATGTATATGGGACTACGCACATGTGCGCGACACGCGCGTTTATCTCTCACAGTCCAATAGATAAACTAATTTACCAAATATATAAATTAGTAGGCGGTTTCCCGGCAAAATTTGTATCATCATGTATTAGTCAAAACATATTCTTTCACATGATTGGTAATAAAGAGCTTCCATTTCGTTTTTTGAAATTGGGGCGTTTCCAATACTGGTCTTTACCTTTAAAAAAATGAAGAAAAAAATAATAATAATAATAAATAAATAAATAAAAATGGAGAGACTCCATACAAGAGGAAGAAAGAAAGAGAAAGAAAGAGCAATTATAGCTTGAGAAGAGGAGAAAGTGAGCAGATTAGAAAAAACAGAGGAGTTTTGTATATACTAAGAAAAAAAGAACATTCCATTGAAATCAAATGAAGTCAGTGAAACATTATGAAAATGGAGTCCTTTTTCTGTCCAAAGGAAGATCAACATAAATGGGTTTTGAATGAATGAGAAATAAACAAAGAGATTTTACAGCCATGATATACGTGACAAATGCTTTACACGTAGACAATCATGACCTGCTTTGGGAAGTTCAAGGAGTCAATGTCAACCATGATTTCTGAGCTATTTTGGTCACAGGGGGCCTCTATTTTTGGCACTTACGATGGTTTCTCCCTGTTCTGATAAGAAAGAGAGTGATCCCATGCCTATTTAAATTCTTGGTTTAATACCAGTATGAAAATGACAAACTAATCTGAAGGTGCAGACACTATGAATATGACGGACAAAGAAAGCGGACAAAATATACAGTTCCTCAGGTAGACAAAGGAACATCCCTTCACTGCTATTATGTAAAAATGTGTACATGTAGAACAGGTGTCACATGCATATTCACCCGTTCTACACATTTTTACATAATAGTAGTGAAGGGATGTTCCTTTGTCTACCTGAGGAACTGTATATTTTGTCCGCTTTCTTTGTCCGTTATATTCATAGTGAGAATAGCTCTAAAAGCAATCAATGAGCTGAATCTGTCATAAGATTTTTTTTTTTAAATATGGAAGCTTGAAACTTGATTAGATATTGTACAATGTACAAAATATAACTATAACATTTTGATTTTGCTAATCATCTTTTCACTTTTGTTCTTATTGTTTTTCTTAAACCATTCATCCATACTTTTATTTAAAATTCATTTTGTAGTAAGTAAGTACATGATGTAGATAAGGCTAAATTGTGAATATATCTTCATGGATTTTGAATCTATTATTCAAGTAGATCAGGGAAATTTCAGAGCACAAATGATTTTACTAAATAAGAAAAATCCAAGGAAAACTGATGTACATGTATATACTCTCTGCTAAGAGCAAGAAGGGCATGAAACCAATACTTTTACAGAGTTAACGCCCTTCTGGTTCCAAACATACAGTAAACTAAATTATTTATACCCTTGTAAACCAAGTTTTGTAATTTTTTAAGTACGTTATGTTAAAATGTAGTGGTCCCAATGTATGTTTCTGGAGAATGTGCCATATTAAAGCTCATATCTAAAAGTTTTCAACAAAGGCCCTAATTCAACAAGTTCACCTTTCATGCTGAGTTTTGATAAACACAAAAAACATCAAATTTACAAGGTGTATGAATGTTTTAGATGTTAACTGTACTTTCTTCACAATCTACTCTACATGGTATATATGTCATTTCAACACAGTCCTATACATGTATGTGGAACTGGGATCTAATGATATGATGGGATGGAGGCAAAAGAGCAACAACAAGCGAAAACCATGTGCACACGTATGCAGAGGAAGTGAAAACTGGAGAAGCTTTTTTTTGTATATATATATATATATATATTACCTGTCTTTACTACGTACAGTAGTAGTAGGGGATGGGTAACCAGGGTTGCCTAAAGCATGCTTTTTGTTAGAAATGGCAGCACTGCCTGTTTTGCTGGAGTACATTGTAGTGCTGCACAATGTGTTTGTGTGTGTGTTAACAGCAAAGGTTAGTGCCAAAAGGTAGGAAGTGCAAGAGAGCCAAGAAAGGGGAAATATTGGATAAATAAAAAAGAGGAAGGAAGGAGACAGGGCTGGGTTAGAAAATAATAAAATCACAATGCATGCTTGTTGTATATATATATATATATATATATATATATATATATATATATATATATACAAATAAAAGATAATACAAATAAAAAGAAACATTTACTGCAATATCAAATAGATTATTCTGTGTATATAACATGAACAGTTGCAAATATTATATAGAAAGTGATTAAAAAGTTGAAGGTTAATAACAGAACAGCGTTTTAACAGTTTTCAACAGCGCATTCACACTGCAGGATGTTGCATTTGAAATCCAGAATTATTTTAGTATATTCAACTATTCAAAATGGAATATTTGGCAAAATTGATGACCAAGAAGAGGATAATATTTTCTAAATGATGAATTTGATAAAGTATAATGTGCACAGTAATGTTACCCAAGATAGCATAAGGGTAATTTATCATAGAAAGATGCAATGTCACCTTGATTGCAATTATACAAATGTCATTTATTATATCCTTTGTGAACTATTCATAAGATGTGTGTATTTTGGGTGCAGTTGCGAAGACTTGTTGATGACACCGTTTCATTATAAAAAAAAATAATCTTCAAATAAATCATTGTACCTACATGTATGCACTATAAGTAATACATCTCTACGTGCAGTAGGCGCCGTTTTTAGAGGGCGAAAATGCATTTTTCCTGTTATAAAGTTTAAGGTTTTGCTCTGATTTTTGCTTTCAAAATTTTTTAAATGATAATTTGCATATACATGTAAAACTAAGTTTGTAGAAATTATTTCAAAATCTGAAAGCTCAGAGCTGTAATTTTAGAAAAATGATTGAAAGACAATTTTTCATTTTTTATTTTAAATGATAATTTGCACATAATATATGCATGAGTGTGGAATTTATTTCAAAATCTGAATGCTCAGAGCTGTATTTAAAAAATCTAAAAATTGAAACACAATATTCTTTTTTTTTTAAGTTGAAACAATAATTTGCACATAATATATGCACGAGTGTGGGATTTATTTCAATGTTTGGAGCTTAGAGCTGTTTATCAAACATGATTGAAAGACATTTTTCTTGGAAATAATATTATCAAGGTACTGCATATTAATAGATCATACTTTCACATCAGAATGTTATTGAGCAATGGTAACAGATCTATTACATAGTAATTCAGCACATACTTTTGAAAAGATTTCAAAGGAAACAAGATAAATGTTGCTCTAAGGTAGAACAAAACTGAAACATGTTCACATCCTTTTGCACAATTTTTTTTTTTTTAAAGAAAGAAAAGAGAAGAATATTTTATAGCCTATGGCATGTGAATATCTATCTATATATAAATGAATGAATTGCATAGTCATATACATGTACAAACACTAAATGATATTCAATAGCATATAAATATTCATATAAACACAGCATATATATTTTAATTTGTAAATATTTCTAACTAACATTCAAATATCTATACATGATTCACTGTGTGACATTCAAACTGCAATATGGGAATTCTAATCTACAAAATGTGGATTCTATACAATGTGGCGATAGGATTCAAGATTAGATACCTGACATTAAATGGTTAATAAATTGGCAATCATCACACTGTCTGTTAGGAGTCACAAGGGCATGAACTAGATGCGTACAGACTTACAGAACACAAGTTAAAATGCCCTTGTGACTTCAAACAGATGATATGAAGTATTATACAAGGTGTCACTTCTAGTCAGATATTCGGTGCATAATTCAGGTTAATCTAACACCAAGACTAACTAAGCGGGAGTACTGGTAGGACCAGAGCGCTGTTGCATAATACTGGCAAAATTTAATTTGCAATTTCACAACATTGAAGAATGAGAGAGGTAGAAAGGCATTAACTCCACGACAAAGTCAGTGAGTTAATGCCCCCTGCCTGTACCCTGACTGCTAGCGGATGAAATGTGTCTGTTCGGAGCTAGAAGGGCATTAACTCTGTGTTATGAGTTATCGTGCTTCTGGCTCCGTCCAAACAGACAATATGCAATATTTCAATGGTTGTTAGTATCAATGTTTTTTTGTTTTTTTAGTAGAGCTTGCTATACAGTGCGTCCCAGAAAGAAGAAGAAAGACTTCATGCATGGCTGATTGTCAATGAAATGGAGTTAAGTCTTTCTTCAACTCTGTTTGTTGCTACGACAGGCAGCCAGTGTAAATGAAATCGTTTAATCAAATTATGAAAATGCAAGCATTACTTTAAACAAACAGAATTTTGTTATTACTGGCTCATTTTTCCTGATTGAGGTGTCATATGAAAGGGCATAAAATGAACTTTCTAGAAATGTGATTTTCTCTTTGAAATTACCCTCTCTTCAAATTGTTTTTAATCACTCATGCATGAAATATGCATCATGTCAGTTGCATCAAATGAAAGTGAAGAATCTAAGCTTTACAAATATGTGTCATCTATTAATTGTAATTGAGATTAAGATTTGATAAAACATTGATAATTCTCGGTTTCGTTTTTTCTGGGACGCACTGTATATACTAGATCCTGCTTGCTACTGGTTAAGGAACTTGCGGTTATATGAATAAAGATCTTTGATCAGTCTTATGCAACGAGCTCCATACAGATACAACCTCCTGTACATTGAGTAACCACTTGCACGTTAAGTTTTTTAAAAGGGGGAAAATACCCTTTCAAATTTTCAGAAGAATTGAACAAAATGGTGATTGTGTTGTCCTTCAGTGCAGATAATAAGGATAATAGAAAAATAACACAACAAGAGCTAGAATAGAAACCAGAACACAGGAGAAGGAGTAGAAATAGAGAAATTGGACAGGATACGCGGGAAGATCACATTAGACAGAGAGAGAGAAATTCCAAGACAAAGACAGGGAATTGGAGTAAAGGGAATCAAAACTTAGATTCAGAGAGATAGCAACACAATTACCACAACAGAAACAGTTAAGAAAACACACTAATAGAAACAGAGAGATAGAAACAAATCAACCACCACAGAAACAGTTAAAGCTTAACTTGAGCTCTGGTATGGGCATCGTTTGTCATGAGAACGTGGCTATAATTCATTCTTGATTGTTTATCCTGCAGTTGATTAATTGTTTGAACTTTAAACCAGTAAAATAAAAACCTCACAAACACTTGCTGGAAATCATCTTCAATAAAAACCACATCTCTCATCTGCACATGGTGACGTGTGTTTAAAAGCATGTGGTGTTAGGCCTCCTTACATTGATTTCCTTATCTTTCGATGCACATTGCTCAGCCCCTATACATTTTCTACCAAATCGTTTGGCAGATGTCATTTATTTGTAATCTTGAACATTCAGTGTAAGTTTTGTCGGATTCTTAGGGAATTTATTTTCTATCATTACCAGAACTCAAGCTTATCTTTAAGTAAACACACCAATAGAAACAGAGAGATAGGCACTGAAAGATCAGAATATAAATATAATACAAAAGAAAGATTGCCAGATGAAAGAAGCAAGAGGAATACTGAACCCAGATGCAAGATTGGCAGTAAAAAAAAAAGAAAAAAAAAGAGAGCAATAGAGAGAGAGAAAGAGAACGAGAGAGAGAGAGAGAGAGAGAGAGAGAGAGAGAGAGAGAAAGAAAAAAATGAACAAAGACAGAGATAAAACATATTGTACTCGTAGGTACAGACACATTCAGGCATGGACAAAGGAAGCATCAAAATAAGAAAACATAAAAAGAGGAATTTATATACGACTGAAAACTCAAAACACCAATGCAGTGTTTAAAGCGCATGCATGGGCAGAGAGATTTAAAGAAAAACTAAAGGGGAAAGTTTGCAAGATTTGATTTACTCAATCTCCAGGAGGTATACAGAGAACAAATTCTTTAAAATTAAAATCAAACAAATTCACTATCCCAACCTGAGCGAATGTTCTGGCGGGGGTGCAGGTCTGAAAGAAAATACAAGAATGCCCCTGAGTCATCAACAACTGATAATAATCAATGTTCAACTGAATGGGGGGGGGGGGATATTTGAATCATGAAGATCTTCTTTCCCAAAAGCTTCATCTGTGATCAAAATCCCCAGGGAGAAGAGAGAGAGGGAGAGAGGGGATTAGAGATAGAGAGAGAGAGAGAGAGAGAGAGAAAAGGAGAGAGAAAAGGAGAGAGAGAGAGCGAGAGATAAATAGAGAGAGAGAGAGACGGAAAGATATATATATATATAGAGAGAGAGAGAGATCAATAGATAGGTAGATAGAGAGAGATGGAAAGAGAGAGAGAGATAGATAGAGAGCAAGAGAGAGAGAGATGGAGAGGGACAGAGAGAGACAGAGATAGAAAGAGAGAGAGAGAGAGAGAGAGAGAAAGAGAGAGAGGTGGAGAGAGAGAAATTACTCACATGCCCAGAGGGTGTGAAGAGAGAATCTGAATTTCATAGCAATGCATGCATGAACACAGCAAAACGTATGGATATTGATATTTTCTCGGTTATCACAGCACAACAGAATAGAGAGGTGAGAGAGTGAATTCCATAACATTTTGAAACAAAATAAGTTTGAAACTCAGCTAGCTGTCTCGTGCTGAGATGTGCATGCAATGGTGAAACAAAATAAGTAAAAAAGTAATATCCTAGTTGTGTTCGCTTGAGTATTGTGGTAGACCATTCTCAATCTGTATGCAAATTTTTGCTGTGAGATATATAAGATAATCATGCTTGACAACTTATAAGAAAGCGTGCCAAATGCTGTCCTGGTGCGATGTGTTATGAAGCAAAAGTAGAATATATACAGCTTGCCAAAGGGTCTCCTGACCGGAGAATCAATTGTGAAACAAACATGAATCTATAAACTTGCTTTTGATTTGCACTTTACAGCAGTTGATATTCAAACTCAGTGCACATGTACATGTACATGTACTTTAATAAGGCAGTGGTACTTTATCAGACATATTTGAAGGAGTCTCCCACTGGGTTGAATGTCTAAAAGTCTCTTTTACTAAGTGGACACCTAGTCATATACTAACAACAAAATGAATTCAAGAGAAAGCATAATATAATCAGGAGGTTTTTGCAAGGCATCAAGTACTCCATCTTCCTCTCCTTACTTCAGGGGGGTGTTTCACATAGATTCTAAGTCGAACTTAAGTCTAAGTTGGACTTAAATATTATGGAGAGCCATTTGTAACGAAATATATTCAAAAGCAAAATTCATGTATTTTAGACTTTTTATAAATTCCACATCAAGAACATGAAATCTCCCATGATAATAGGAAATATGAATGATTTGAATGCCTTTTAAAATAACTTTTACAAAATAATTTCAAGAATGCTAACAGCTTTCCCTAATTGTTAAGTCCAACTTAGAGATAAGTTCAACTTAGGATCTTTGTGAAACACCCCCTTGTGCTCATATATACCAATGCCATTCAAAAGATACATGCAATACATGTATAGAGCACTGATTACACAGCTTGTTTGTCATTTTTCTTCCATTATCCTCCCAGAACAATTACCTTTCCAGCTTCTCGATACCCTCCTTCTTGCCGGACATGAGGTCCTCCATCTCCCTCTCCATGCGGGTGTCCTTGCCCAGCTTCCACAGGTTAAACTTGGTGGAGAGCGTCATCCAGCAGGAGCCACCGTAGTGCATCTCCAGATCCACCCACATGCCCCTAGAGTCCACCGTGGGCTTGGATGCCTTGCGTATCGTGGGAGCGTTGAGTCCCAGGTCCGTCCCGGTGATGGTCAGGGCCTCCATGAAGTGGGGTATCTGTTTTGTAAGGATTCAAAAGATAAATTCACAATGTCATTGGTTTATTCATCTTTCAATAATATCTTTCCGTGGTGGGAGTCCATCGTGGACTTGGATGCCTTGCGTATCGTGGGAGCGTTGAGGCCCAAGTCCATCCCTGTGATGGTCAGGGCCTCCATGAAGTGGGGTATCTGTTTTGTAATGATTCAAAAGATAAATTCACAATGTCATTGATTTATTCATCTTTCAAATAAGTCTTTCTGTGGAGTCCACGACTGGGCTTGGATGCCTTGCGTATCGTGGGAGTGTTGAGTCCCAGATCCGTCCCGGTGATGGTCTGGGGTCCATGAAGTGGGGTATCTGTTTTGTAAGGATTCAAAAGATGAATTCACAATGTCATTGATTAATATTCATCTTTCAAATAAATCTTTCCGTGGAGTCCACGACTGGGCTTGGATGCCTTGCGTATCGTGGGAGCGTTGAGGCCCAGGTCCGTCCCGGTGATGGTCAGGGCCTCCATGAAGTGGGGTATCTGTTTTGTAAAGATTCAAAAGATAAATTCACAATGTCATTGATTTATTCATCTTTCTGGTGGGAGTCCACGACTGGGCTTGGATGCCTTGCGTATCGTGGGAGTGTTGAGTCCCAGGTCCGTCCCAGTGATGGTCAGGTCCGTCCCAGTGATGGTCAGGTCTGTCCCAGTGATGGTCAGGTCCGTCCCAGTGATGGTCAGGGCCTCCATGAAGTGGGGGATCTGTTTTGTAAGGATCCAAATGATGAATTTACAATATAATTGATTAATATTCATCTTTCAAATAAATCTTTCAAATAAACTTGAGAAGTCAAGAAGTATGGGCTCTTAAAGGAGAAGTCGATACTGCTATTGAGTTGGTATCAACTTATCAATAGAAGCAAAATAATGAGAGGAACAGGTCAGTGAAAGGTTGAGTGAATTCCAATTGAAAATAAGAAACTTGTGAATGTTTTAAGTTGCGATCAATCACACACAATCAGCGACAATGAGATTTTTCTTGTGAGCTCCTCTCCGACTTGCTCTGTACAGAAATTTTCATGGATTGTCCGTGTCCTGTTTTCAAATTTTTATATGAATTCGGAACTATCTGAGATAAAACAAAGTACCGGTAGTGATATTACATTTACATCCTCCATCAAAAAATGCCAGTGCAAGGATTAGCCACGGATGGGTCACCTGACATTAAATACTATCACCATGAAGAAGAAAGAGGATTTTGCGTGACCTTACTGTTCAAAGCTATCGATAAGCCTATTGCAATATCGCCACGACAACCACTGTCGCATGGACAGCGCTCTTCGCAAGCACAGTGTGTGTGTGTGTGTGTGTTTTGGACAAAGGTGTGAGTCAATATCTATTTTCAGATGTATTTCTTTCGAGCTTACATTTTTAGTTTTTCACTTTTTGATGCAGGCTAAAATGATGAAAACTTTCTTCATAATTTAATTTCATGGGAATCCTTCTACCTTTATTTTCCAAACATTACACCATGAAGCAGATCTACAAGTTTATTTAAAAAAACTGATTAAAGACAAAGCTTGCATGCATGAGTTATGGTAATGATTGAAAATAAATTTTCACAGAATCCAACAAAACTTACACTGAATGTTCAAGATTACAAATAAATGACATGCACCAAACAATTTTGGTAGAAAATGTATAGGTGCTGAGTAATGTGCATAGAAAGATAAGGAAATCCGGGTAAGTAGGCCTGACACCATGTGCTTATTTAAAGACAGGTCACTATGGGCAAATGGGAGTTGTGGTTTTTATCGAAGATTATGATTTCCAGCAAGTTTTTGTGAGGTTGTTTTTATTTTACTGGTTTAAACAATCAATCCACTAGCTGCAGGATAAACAATCCAGAATGAAATATAGCCACGTTCTCTTGACATACGATACCTATACCAGAGCACAAGATTAGCTGTAACTTGTGCATGTACCAGTCAATATCTATTTTTTCCAAAAAAAGAGATTATTCATAGACTTTTCTTTCATGTTGTACATGCAGGCATTAATTACTCTTGCTAGCATATGGTAAAGAGCATTTCGAATTCAGTCTACAACATGCTTTATCGAACTGTACATTGTACTTCAACATCCAGTGTGCCATGGTCTACAAACTTTGCACGTACAGTACAGTTAGCATCAATTTAATTAAAGCTACATAATTGTGAGCCTACTGTGTGTAAGCTAGTCTCCCAATTTCATTTCTGTCCCGATCAATGTATCTTGTTTACACTGTTGTCACACAGAGCTCGACTACTCTTTCGTCCTGGGAACATATACCAAATCTATAAAAAGAATGAAATAAAGAAAAAAGCCAAGAAATAGGGATCACTTTTGTAGCCATGAGCTAAGCTGCTGAAAGCAATCCAATCTATTGCAGCTACTCAGCGTATAACCAGTGTCCATAGGGTCCGTTAACATTATCAAGGTTTGGTCTCCCTGTCTTGGTAAATTTGTATGCCTCTCCTTTATTTCATGAAAGAGTGTGAAAGTGATTCTACAGTTGGTGCTTATTGTAGAAGTGAGTGATAAAAATATATAGGCATCTGCATCATTCTCTATGCCATTTTGATATATTTTGACCACTCACGGCTATAGAAATTGTACTCCCTTCAGAACAAGAAGTTAATAGCCTTGAGTTTATAGCTACATGTATAGACTGGTAACCCCCCCCCCCCTCTCTCTCTCTCTCTCTTTTTTTCTTCCTCCTCCTCCTACTCCTCCTTTAAAATTCTTCTTGAAAATGCAACATGGATTTATTCAACATCGATACATGTAGATTATTTTTACCTCAAATAAACGAATACCAGTAATTTAAAATGAAAGTAAGTCCAAATTCCACAAAATTAGAATATAAAAAAAATGGTTAAATATGAAATAAAACAGTCATCATTCAGTTTTCTCCAAAACAACACTACCGATATTTATTTCTCATCAAAGAGAAATAATAGTTAAATGTGTATAAAATGGTAAAATATGTGTTGCCAATTAACTGAAGAAACCAATTAAAGGAATTATTTGAAGATTTCACACAACTACCTCATATTGCAGTTGCCAATTGGCTTAAGTATAATTAAATATTAATTACTACTCTTTACAAGGTACATCTACATGTACATGTACAGTAAGAGGCATCATAATGAATGCATCGGATACAGGATTTTAGGCTTTAATTTCAAAAAGACAACAAATGCAGTTGTGACAACCTAAAACTTGCTCTATGTTGTCTTGCCAAACTTGAATTGGACCAAGCCATATATTAACCTTTGATTCAAATTTTTGTATTATATTGGCCTTTGTATCTACAGTACATGCATTTGATGTGCGATCATTCACTTCGATGTTACACGTGAATGCCAGACAATTGTAAAACAGGAGGAAAAGGTAACACCTGCTACTTCAGAATCTTAATGTGATTTGGAAATAAGAGAGGCCCCCAAGATAGGCAATATCAGAAAGAGAGCTGGAGAGAGAGAGAGCTGATGAATAGTTTCCCTTCCTCTATCCAACTCCACATAATCAATCTCATGATTGGTTAGGAGAATTTACAGTGCCATTTTAAATTGTAGATACCTGTTCATGTGTACAGTACGCACTGTGTACCAGTATTTCTTTTGTTTCGATTAGATATAAAAAGTAAAACATATTTTGTATTGTATATACATGATGTATATCGCTTGATTTCTCATAATAGATGTGGGTTTGAAATTTACATTCCAAGAACCAGAATAAGCAATTTGCAAACACTTTGTAATGTAAAGTTCGTAACAGAATCTTTCAAAGATGGAAAAAATAGTAAACAAATATAAGGGGCTAGCACAGTGTCATGGAGCCCCCTAAAATTGCATAAGGTTTCTAATTACTGTAGCAACAAACATTTAATTTTGAAGTAATCAATGAGTGTATTAATTACCATCTCACTGAATTATTAAAGTATAAGCCAGAAAAAATGCTTCATTCCAGTAAAAAGCCTTTATTTCTGTCCAACAAACTATGATAAAATCCTATGGAGAGGTCATTTTCATATATGCAACCACTGTTTTATAGAATAACATGCCAGAATGCCTTGGAAATTATAGAATCGTATAGAGACATGCAATTATGCCTATAGATGTGTTATGCACTTTACAAAAAAAATGTTTAATTATGTAATTATAATTATATATGCAGAAAACCTTCAGATGTACAAGTACTCTTATTCTAATATATGGCTTCAAATTACACTACAGACATGTACACATCATAGCCTACAGTACGTAGTCTGTTATGTAACAGCAAGCCACCCCCTTTTCGAATCCATCCATGGCCCCACAATTAGTCAATCTAACGACGATGCGGTTAGATGCCACAAGCACTGGTGTCATACAAAAAGTAATTAATCGAGTCTTGCCCTGTTACATAGCATAGCACACACGCTAGCTAGCATCCATCCATCCATCACTCCATTCGATGGAGAGAATCAATACACGTACAGTATGTACAGGTACGTGGCACCAGAATATGGAAACATTCATGTGCGCATGCAGTGAGTCATTGCTCAATAAATTGTAATGTTAGCCCGACCAGAATGATGAAGAAAAAAAACGCGACTATAGCTGCATTTACACTGCAACCAAAAATTGTCCAATTTTCTCACATTCGAGGGTTTCGTCGTTAGTTGCATAGCAACTACCAGGAAATGCGACAAAAAATTGAGACCAAAGATACACCTCTAGAGGTTTTTTTTCTTTTAACGCCTACAGAAATTTCATAGATTACTGCAGTGTAAATGCAAACTTTGGTAAGATACTGATTTTTGTTCATGAGACTCTCCTTGCTTCCGTGCTAACGCATGAAGGGTATCAACGAGTGGCGCATGCGCACTACTCATAAAAAAATCAGTATGAACAAACTTCAACGTTTTGGGGCCTTTTTTCAGTGGTGTAAATGGTGGCAGTTTTTAAAAAATTGATGTTTTTTAGAAATGGTTTTTGGG